CATCGATGAAGATATTAAAGAGGACTGTCCCCAGCACCGAGCCCTGGGGACGCCACTAGTGACCGGCCTCCAACTGGACTTGACTCCATTCACCACGACTCTTTGGGCCCGGCTATCCAGCCAGTTTTTAACCCAACGAAGCGTGCGCCAGTCCAAGTCAAGAGCAGCCAGTTTCTTGAGGAGAATGCTGTGGGAGACGGTGTCAAATGCCTTGCTGAAGTCAAGGTAGACCACATCCAGAGCCTTTCCCTCGTCCACCCAGCGCGTCACTTTGTCATAGAAGGAGATCAGGTTCGTCAAGCAGGATCTGCCTTCCATAAACCCATGCTGACTGGGCCTGATCGCCTGCTTGCCCTGCAAGTGCCGCAAGATGACTCTCAAGAGGATCTGCTCCATGAGCTTCCCTGGTACTGAGGTCAAACTGACCGGCCTGTAGTTGCCCGGGTCTGCCCTCCGGCCCTTCTTGTAGATGGGCGTCACATTTGCTAGCCGCAAATCTGACGCCCATCTACAAGTTTTCCCCATCTACATGTTTTCCCCGTGCTGCTCCTGGGAGCCAGGACCAGATGTTCCCTTCCAGGTTCAAGACCTTCCAGGTCTGGACGGGAGCTACTTTTCTAATTGCCTTTTGTAATTTCTTCCATGACTTTCCTGTTGTCATCGATTTGAAGACAGCAGCTTGAATCATTTGGCTTTGTCCATAGGCACCTTGTAAAGTGGGGATGTTTATCGGTTTGTAAGGTTTCTTCAGCGCTGGGCAGCATGGGGGTAGGCCCACCAAAATCGTGCCTGCCTGACGGGGCAACTTGCCCTGGTTCTATGCAGCAAAGAGCTACACGTGCACAAAGTTTCCCAACGCGCCTAGACACGTTCCTAACCTAGCTCCGCTTCGTCTTCAGATGAGCTCCAAGGAGTCATTTCCATGAGCTCCTCCTGTCTGCACTTGCGCACCTTCTCCTCTCCTGGTGGTGGTCTTGATTCAAAGATCGAAGCCGAAATTCCTTTAAGTGGTATATTCTTTATTGCAGCGCTGGATGCACGGGGGATCTCTCCACCTATCGTGCATACCCAAAGCGGAAAGCAGTCTGGAATTTATACAATCAATCTATCAATATTCTACAAGCGCCTATACATATTCATTACCTATCCCGCCTTCCCTCGCTTCTCATGCTAATTAGCCTTTTGGCACTTTGTGCCTGCATAGAGCCTCCCAAGAATTGTGGGCAGGGGTCTTTGGGACGTGGGCAGGGGTCTTTGGGAGGAAGACCCCGAGTCTTCCTCACAGTGGACTTTTCACCTTTGGTCAGGAATCTGCTGAGTTGGCATGTTTCTTAATTGCAAGCGCTGGTTGTTGCTAATTCTTCCATTTGTTGTATCTTTATAATGAATTCCAATGTCCAGTTTTGAGATGTATAGTCCTTATATTTGTTTCTCTGTCCGTCTGCCGCTTCCTTATCATGAGTTCCAGTGTCTTGTTTCGAGATATACAGTCCTTGTCTGGGGATTGTCCTTGCCTCCCCAGTGCCTCCTTAATCAGTCTTTGGGGGGTCGTGGGGACGAAGGCCGAGAACTCCTCGTCATCACCACCAGCTGACCCCCTTTGCAGCCTTTGGAGACTCAGCTGCTCCTCGGCTCTTGCCCAAACCACAGGGTCGGGCTCAGCTGCTTTTTGGGACAGGTTCCCCGCTTTTGTCAGGCTGGGCTCGGCTCGGCCGGGCTCGGCCCCCCCGGCCTTGCTTCATTTGCATAGCCCCGCCCCCGATTGCCCCACCGGCCACTCAGCTCTTGGGGCCAGCCGGAGCCCCGCCCCCCGAGGAGGCGGCGGTGGCTCACCGGCTTGAGGCGCTCGCATAACCCTGACCTCGCGACGTGGAGAGAGATCTGAGGTCAGGGGTTCGAGACGCAGCATGGGGGTGCAACGCTCCTCCTTTTGCACACACCTACTCTTGCTTACAATTCCTTCCTCGTTTCTTTCTGCTCTCTGCTCTGCGGTTTTTGCCCTTTTACTCCATTATTGGCAAGTCCCTTTCATCTGGGAGATCCTGCCGGTCCTGCCTTCCTAGCACAATCTTTGCTGGTGGCCCCTTAAGAGTTACTATCTTCAGAGACTTTAGGACTGACTGAAGCCTTCAAATTCACTTCCTCAGAAAAGAGATTCAACAAGGCATCGTCCTTAAGAAGATGGATCCCAGGAACAAATCAAATCCTGTTTTCCCCGTGCTGCTCCTGGGAGCCAGGACCAGATGTTCCCTTGCAGGTTCAAGACCTTCCCGGTCTGGACGGGAGCTACTTTTCTAATTGCCTTTTGTAATTTCTTCCATGACTTTCCTGTTGTCATCGATTTGAAGACAGCAGCTTGAATCATTTGGCTTTGTCCATAGGCACCTCCTCCTCGTGCTAGTAAGTCATCGAGGACCAGGAGACATAGCATTATTGCAGCTCGCATCGCATCTGGGTGGCTTGATCAGCGAGCAAGTCAGGAACCTTGGCGGTTTGGTCGGTGACGCTTTCAAATACTGCCTGCCCCCTTAGGATTCGATGTAGGTTGCACATGGATATTACCTGCCGAGCTCCTGCAACCACCGCCTTCGGCTTCCAAGCGGCTGGCCCATAACGTTGGGTGATTCTCTCTGGAGGCCACTCATCTGTACCCCATTTCTGGTTACTTCCAGAAGCTAGGGATATATCTCCTGACCTCTTTTCTCTTTTAAGATCATCCCGTCATTGGATTTCCAATCCCTTACCTTCGAGTTCTGGTATCAGAAAGAATGGTGGCCTGAGAAGTCCAACAGAACTGGTACCTGAGGATCTTAATGGGACACGGTGTCAAAGACCTTCCTGAAGTCCAGGAAGACGATATCCACTGCTCTGCTTTCATCTGCCAGACTTGACATTTCATTACAGAAGTTTATCTGCATTCAGTCAGTCTCATTTCGTTTCATTTGGCAGATTTACTTTTCGACAAGCAAATCCCAGATATAAGCAAGCTGAAAGCAACAGTCCCCCTGTTCAGCATACTAGTCCCGTACTGATCTCGCGAGCCATAGGCATCCTGTTGAAGATATTCCATAACACAATTCCCACCACAACTTTGTCCCTGAGGTAGGTAGAAAACGACACTTTTGCCATAATCTTCTCCTTCCTCTGGAACGCGAAGCACTCGGAGAAGTGGAAATTTCTGAAGCTTCTGCTTCAGTTTCCCCTTCCGATCGGATACCTGTCCCTAACGTAAAGATGTCACGTCAAAGAACCAGTGCAGAAAAAGGCAGCAGCTCTCTACCTACCTGCGGTGATAAAGGCAGGCTAAAGAGAAGGCTTCTGTAAGAGACTGAGGTGTGTTTTTCTTTGACTTGACGCCAGCAAAAGTTAGGATTCTTTAACACAATAATGAAGCAATCCTAACACAAAGCATAACGCTGACAACTCCTGGCTTCCGTCACCAAACACGCTGTAGACTCGCCGAACGGTTTGGGTTGGAAGAGGCCTTAATTCTGAACCCCTGCCATGGGCAAGGACATGAGCTGCACTACATCAGGTTGCTCAAATTCCCATCCAGCCTGAGCTTGAGCGCTTCCAGGGAGGGGGAACCACAACTTCCTTGGACAACTTGGTCCCGTGCACTAACCTTGCCCCGTGTAGTATTGCCCAAGCTGAGCACAAACGGGGTGTGTGGAGGCTGCACCATCCCCGCTCACGCGGCTCGCAAAAGGTGCCTGCACAAACCAGCCTTTTTTTTTCTAACGCCATGAAGCGAGCCCCCCTCTCCTCTCTCTGCACCCCTATGTCTATGATAGCTCCACGCAGCCCGGGGACTCTTTTGCCCAAAACCTCGAGGTTTCGCCCCAAAACGTCGCGCACATCCCGCCCGCACTGCACGGGCTCCCCACAAGATGGCGGCCGCGAGCCGGCGCTGTGCGCATGCGCTGCCCGCCTCTCAGCTCCTCTCTATGGTCTCTGTGGGCGCCCTGCCCTTCTTCCGCCAGCTCTGTGCCCTCTCTATAGCGCCCGCCCGTCTCCATGGCGGCGCTCTAGGACCTCCCACGTCTCTATGGCGGGCGGCGCTCTAGCCGCGGCCTCCCCCCCTCTCGGTGGCCCCGCCTGGGAGCGGGGGGCGGCGCCTGGCGGCGGGTGCGGGGCGGGGGCGTTTTGGGGGAATTTCTGCGGGATTTGGGGCTCGCTCCGGTCCGGTGCTGCGGTGTGGTTCCGGCAGGGTTTGGGGTTGGTTCCGGCGGGGGGTTCGGTGTGATTCCGGCAAGGTTTGGGGTTGATTTCGGCAGGGAGGGTTTTGGGTTGATTTCGGCAGGGTTTGGGTTTGGCTTCGGAGGGTGTTTTGGGTTTGGTTTCGGCAGGGTTTGGGTTTGCTCTCAGCGGGGTGTCGTGGTTTCATTTCGGCAAGCTGCTTTGGTTCAATTTCAGGAGGGTTTTTGGGGTGATTTCAGCAAGTTTTAGGTTTGGCTTCAGCAGGGCGTTTTGGTTTAATTTCAGCAGGTTTGGGGTTTAATTTCGGCAGGCTTTTTGTTTTAATATCTGCAGGGTGCTTTGGCTTAATTCCAGTAGTTTTTTGGGTATAACTCTAGCCGGGTTAAGGTTTAATTTCAGCAGGGGTTTTGGTTTAAATTTAGCCGGATTTGGGTTTAATTTCAGTATTTTTTTTTTTTTGTTTTGTTTAATTTCTGTAGGGCTGTTGGGTTTAATTCCAGCAGCCTTTCGGTGTAATTTCGGCAGCGTGCTTTGCTTTCATTTCAATACTTATATTTTTGGTGCGATTTCAGCCGGGTGCTTTGGCTCAACTTCGACATTTCTTGTTGTTTTTTTTTTTTTGGTGCGATTCGGGCACGCTTTTGGTTTAATTTCCTCCTTTCTGTCCCCCCAGCAAGGCAGCAGGCCCAGCCCCGCAGCGGAGGAGCGATGCCCCCCGGGGACACCCCCCGGCACGGCCCCCACGGCCCCTCGGACACCGGGCCCCGGCTCTGCGCCCTCCTGTAGCTCCCCCAGGCCCAGGTAAGGATGCTGGCAGCCAGCTCTGCCTCACACCACAGCTCCTTTAAACCCTTTCCCTTCCCAATTGCATCCCCTCCCTGCCTGGGAACGCTGCTGGCCCTCTCAGGGCACGCAGAAGGCAAAGGGGTGATTTAATAGCAGTTCACCCCAGTAAACGTGCATCCCTATTGGGGTCACGCCGCTGGGGCTGGCTGCTGTGCTGCAGAAGAGCTTTTTAGAGCCCGGGGGGGCTTTGCCTTCGAGGTAGGTGAAGGTGGTGCAGTGAGGAAGGGGTCTGGAGTCTGGGCGGTTGGTGCCGAACCTTGGGGAGCGGGTAATTGATTTTTTTTTTTAACTTCTAGGAAAACGAAGGAGCTGCGAAGCTGGCAGTGTCTGTGATGTCTTCATTAGGCTGCTTAATTTAATTGAAAATTTTCTGTTGCTGGGAAGGGCTGGAAGGGGAATCTGATACCTGACAGCTGAGATCTAATAGAGCTGTCTGCCACAGCAGCGCAGGCCTTTCTCAGCAGGGGACGGCCGCTCTGCCTTTTGTTTCTTTTGTAATTAATAGGTAAGCTGGGCCAGCCTGGGCTGTTAAACCTTAAGCTCTGCTGACAAAGAAGCGTCTGTGTGTGCAAGACTCCTGTTCCAGGGGACTTGACCCACCGCAGGGGTTCATCGCTTAGGTTAGGTCGCGTCCCTCGGCTGGTTCTGGGGCAACAGCCCTCCTCTTGTCAGTATCCTCTTTTTGAAGGCTGCCGTCGCTCAGGCATTGGCACTGTGTGGTGTTTGGGTGCCTCCTCCAAAGCTTCTAGAAACGAAAGATTAAAAACCCAGCCAAGTGAGTAAGGTTTTTTTTTTTTTTTGCTATTGAAATCTGTGCATTTCTTACAGACCAGAAAACTTTGCTTTAGACTGAGAGACTGGACCTTTTAAAATGCTTGATGGAAAATAGATTTTTTTTTTTCAGATGCCAAATAAGCTTGAAAAACAGGCTGGGCATGCTGTCACGGAGTGATGGAACAGGTCCGTTCACAGCTCCAGCAGTTCCAGCAGCAGAGCAGCTTGCTGAACACCAGCAGGGCGCTCTCACGATGCTCTGGGAAGTTTTTGCTAAAGGCTGGATGAAATCCACAGAGTAGAGTTGTTCCTCCTTCCATATAGATAGATGGAAAATACTTGGTTACTAATTTTGTTCAACTTGGTATGTTTTTATTTCTCAGAATGGGAATTGTGGCTTTTTTTTTTATTTTCTCCAAGAGCTTTAAGTAGCACGATTGGTTACTCCGATTGCTTCTTGCATTGGCAGTGAGCAGACCACTGAGGGACCGGGAGGAAAGTCTCCTGGATAAACAAGCCCCTCGTGAGGCTCTTCCTTCCTCCTCTCACAGCATGTCTCTTGTCTTCACACTCTCAGGAGCCTCACAGTGTTCTTCAAAGCACAATATATTCAAGTTTTCTGCCTTTCCTGCAGCTCTGTGCTTCCTGCTCAGCCTGTCACCTCTATTCATTCACCAGGTGGTGGGCTCTTGGATGAGATCAGGCAAGCAAGATGCTCTGCACAGTGTCTGCACAGGACCTTGTCTTGCTCTGACAGAGGGGCAGAGTTGGAAACTGAAGATCTCACCCTTCTGAAAGTCAGTTTGCCTTTACGTGAAGGGGTTTGCTGTCTCCTTCCTCCTGAGTGTTCTTTTGGATTTCAAGGGAAATTTGGTCTTGAAACCTTGCAGCTGGTGCATTTCAGTGGTGTCCAGGTGAGGTGTGTGTGATGTGGACAACAGAAAGATCAGAAGGGTAGACGTGAGGTGAACAGGAGGAGTGGGAGAAAGAGTGAGCTGTTCACATAACTGATCTCAGCCAGGAGAGAGCTGTTAGCTTCGGTTAAACAAGCTCAAAGACAAAATGGAAATTCTCTCTAATCATGTAGATTTGTGTGTGTGTGTGTTCAGCTCCTCTTACTTTTAGTGTCTCTTGGAAAGATTTAATTTATGGCTTCTCTGAGCTGTTTCTGGTGTCTGCTTCCAGCAAGACCAGCAGAGGAGCAAGAGGTCTCATTGATTAGATTAAATATCTGGGTCACTTACCATTACCTGTGTTTATCCTCTGGTAAGTTTTGATACTGGAAGAAGACAGAGATAAAAAGAACATGTGCAGAAAGATAACTACGGCTGGAGCTGCCCCAGGCAGAGGCCACTTTCTAAATGGATTTATAGATGTGCTTTTCCTATCAGCTTTGTGTCCTGCGCGGTCCTGTGTGAGGAGATAGGAAGCTTATTTGCACACGCCTGCTTCTTTTTATCCCTCTGAGCTAGCGGGTATTCTTGAGATCCAAAAGGTGAAAAGGAGCGAGTCTGCTCTCGTGTTTTTCTTTCAGAAAGCATGGTCTTGAACTTTGTGAGTGGTAACCCGTGGCTTGGTTCTCAGCAGTCTGCTTAGGTGGGAATATTGCGCTTCAGCAGCCCCAGAAATCAGAACTTTCTTTCTGCAGCTCTCAAGCTGTTGGTGGCTCGTGCAGATTGTGGCCAAGCACCTTGCAGAACACAGTGGTTTGCATATTACTCTCAAACTGCATTATCTTGATTTCTGCTTTTTTTTTTTTCCCTAGAGTTCTCAGTCTCTTCAAAATTGTTTTTCAGCAAATTGTTTTCCATGAGTGTGCCACGTCTGTACCGTTTTACTGTTCCTACTATGTTCTTACTAACTTTTGAGATCTCTGTAGGAAGTCAGCTATGAAGGGGAGAAGCAGGTCGGGCAGCTGAGGCACCAGTCTGTGCTCTTCAGATAGAAAGTGAAGGGCAGTCAGAAAACTGGGATAAGAAATTCTTCCTGTGCCTGTGTGCTGTCCAGCGATACTGAATTCCTACGTGCTCCAGATCAAAGCGTTGTTGAAATCCTGCTGGGTTTAGACCTGTCCTCTGTAGCTTAATGAACACGTGACAGAGCATTTAGTGTGGTTTCACATCTTAAAACTCGCAGGGTTTCTGCCTTTGATCGCATTGAAGCGTTACAAACCAGCCTGTGGGAAGTCACCTTCTCATCTCTGGTCAAAAGTTAACTGGACTGGTTACTCTTCCATTCTGGCTGTGCCCTTTGGCAGAAAGAGGGATCTTTCTCCTCCTCCTCCTCATTGTTTCGCATACTTTTTCTAGAACTGCCCTAATTACTGGATTCCTCTAGATCTTGCTTCTGTAACCAAGGTTGATCTTCTCTGCTTCCCTGGTCAGCTCTGTCCAGGAAGGGGAAATTCAAATTGGGAAGGCCAAAGAGGGGAAAGACCTGCAGCAGGTGAGGTTTTGCCAGTGCTTTGTAACGATCATTGAACAGCTCAGGGACTGAGCATTGTCTCTTCTGGAAGTGATAAATCCTGAGATCTCATTTACTTCTCAGGACTATTTTTCTGCTGGAGATTATGGTGGTCACAAAACAAGCCAGATTCCCCTCTCCTCCGTTTCCACTGGTGTGCTTGGATTGGATTAGCTTGTTTTACAAAAGTCATCACTCCCCTGATGGTTAATTCCTTGCTGGTTCCATTACACCCAGTTTTTAAGGGCAGCCCGTTTTCCCTTGCCAGCTTCACAGCCCTTCTGCGTGTTGGTGTTGTCCACAGAAGTATCCGCTGCTGCTGACCGAAATTTTGCAGAGATTGCCGTGTAGGCTCTGTGATTCCACCAGTAACAGCAGCACAGCTGTCTCACCTTGTTCTCCTTCTTCTCGTCCTCAGGATGTGGTGCCGGAGGCTGGCGTGCCTGCTGGGCCTGCCGTGCTGGCAGAGCCGACGTGCTGGGCATGGCTCACTGGGGCTGCCCCACAGCACAAGGATCGTCCCCACTGCTGCAGCTCGCTGCCACCACACGGCCCCGGAGTCCCTGAGCTGTGCCTGGCAGCTGCACGGCGATCACCTGGGTAGGTGTGTGGTTTTGAGCCTGCTTCTGAGCTTCCTGGGGAGAGGAGCGAGGTTTTCCTGGCCTCTCATAAGTCCCTTATGAGAAACAAAGCAATGCTCACTGAGAACTTGAGCAATTCCTGAACTCTGACTGCATCTGAACCTTGCCCCGTCCATCAGTTGTTCACTGTGTGATGTTTGGGCCTCTGACTTGCAGCTGGGGTGGCTGGCTCGGTGTGTTCCCAGCTCTTTGCCTTCCCCCGCTTGCAGATTTTGCTTAAAACATGTTGAAACACAGTTAGAGTGGGTCTGTAAGCAGCCTTTTAGTGTGGCTGGATGGCACGAGCACTGAAGGCTTTTTGATGCCAGTCATCCCTCACTGCGAGACAGCTTAAGGAAAAGGCAAGGAAGGTGTGCCTTAATGAAAGCAAGCCAGTTACAAATTCAGTCTAATGCTGCTTTGCCCTCTGGTTTTTGGAGACAACTTAGCAACCAAAGCACATTTCTCCGTGGTCTGCATTTGGTACCTGCAGATACCCAGCATCAGCCTGGTGATGTCTGCTGAGGCTGGTTAGAAGGCCTGGTACTGTGGAATCCCCTTGTGAGCATATCTCTAAAGGGGATTGCTGAGTGTTTCATCAAGCATAGTGGCCCCCTGAAGAAGGATGTTGTTGTTTCATCCCTCGGATACTTAGATCTCACAGATGAGCAGCAGTAGAGCAGGAAGGGCTCTCCTGTTGCCCATCCTGGCTCTGACCCTCCTCTGAAGGCCTTTGGGCTGTCCCAGGAGGGAACAAGAAGGTGAGGCTTTGTAGTAATGATAAACGGGTATCCAAATTTACTTCTTGAAGAGAGAAGATAGACATAAATAAATGAGCAGTGTGTGTGTTAGCCACGCTCCTGCTCCCTGTTGCAGGATGAGGCTGCCTGTGGATAGTCTTCGAGTGAGAAGCTAGCTTCACTTGCACCGAGAGGTGCTAAGTCTAACAGCTTCTGTGTCCCCTGGAAGTGGGATCATAACTTGTGGGTTTTCCTGTTGTATTTCTCTCACTGTTCACGCCGGTGCATCTTCTGTGCCCGTCTCTTTGCAGAGCTCAGGTACGCAAACACGCTGATGCGCTTCGATTTCGTCTGGCTGCGGGACCACTGCCGCTCAGCTTCCTGCTACAACGCCAAGACGAACCAGCGCAGCTTGGACACGGCTAGCGTGGACCTGGGAATCAAGCCCAAGGCTGTCCGAGTGGATGAGACCACGCTCTTCCTCACGTGTGAGTATCAAAACACTCATCTTTCATGGACTCACCAGCCCTGTTTGGAAGGAGGCTGGTGGATAGATCCTGCTGTGAAGGCTGCTCTCTCCTAGCAAACCTTATCTCTAAATCAGGAGCTGTTTTGGGAGGAGATGTAGCTCTAAGCAGATCTTAAACACTGCTCTTCTGAGCAGGGCTGTTGCTGTAAACACAACTTAGCCTTATTTATGTCTGGTTTTCTTCTCCCTCCCCTCTTGAGTGCATCTCCAGTGTCTGGGTAGTTTATTGGTTTGTTTGAACATGGGAGCCGTGCAGATAGTGAAGAGATCAGTCAAGAAAAGGTTGACTTTCTTATCCTTGCTCTGTCCTGTTTGAACTGGTGTCTCTGATTAGAATTCACATCTTGTGTCCTTTCTCCTCTGCTTCCTGGCTGCTTCAATCGCAGCAGAACAAAGAACTTTCATTTACGGTACCCTCATTTATGGGGTTGTCATCAGTGCTGCTTCTTCAGTGTCCTGTCACTAGAAAACAAAACCCCTGAAGTAGAAACGCTTAGGCCTGGAGTTGGGGTTGTTGACGGTACTTGTAGGACTTGTGGCCTGAACCAAGTAATACTTAAGCTTTCAGTGAGGTTCTAAAGAGTCTGTCATTAGGCAAAATTAGGAGGGGATTGTCCTAGACTGAGGGTTGCAGTGGCTGTGATCTCTCTCGGTCCTGTTCAGTGCGATTGCAGTGACCCGTGACCCTGCTTATTGCCACAGGCCGGACGGGCACGTTACGCGGTACGGGCTGGAGTGGCTGGTGAAGAAACAGCTACGAGGGGCAGAAGCAGCGGGTCACTGCACCCGCGGATTCCTCTGGAACGCCGAAATCTACCGCCCAGCCCAGGTCCCATCCGTCGACTGCCGGAGCTTCCTGGAGACAGACGAGGGGATGAAGGAGTTCCTGCAAAACTTCCTGTTGTATGGGATCGCTTTTGTTGAGAACGTCACTCCCACCAAAGAGGACACGCAAATCTTAGCAGAAAGGATCAGCTTAATCAGGTAACGGGGGCTGCCCCAGGAAGGCCACCGGGCAGCTTTGTAGAAGAACATGAATGGGAGGCTGTTGCTTCCTTTTCTCTTGGAAGGTGCTGCCCTCATATCCTACACGTTGTGCAGTGTGGCTTGGTTTGCAGATGAAGGGTCTAGGTCATCTGCAGTCCCTGGCCAGTCCCCGTGAACAGAGATGCAGTACAGCACTGTGGCATCTGGCCTCTTTTTGGGGGGGAGGCCTGGAGTCAGTAGGTTACAGAGCTGCCTCGGGAGCATGCGATGACTTTTGTGATAGTGGGACTGTGCACGAGAGGAGTGACTGAGGGAAGGAGCCAGTCTGGGAAGACTTGAGCTTTGCAAGGAGAGAACATTTCCTGTTATGACTTGAAAGGTTAGGAGGTCAGCCCTGGCCCTGGGAGCCAGGGAGATCAAAAACAATTTGGTAGCTCTCACCAAAGAAAAATACTGGGAAACTTTTCTTCTGTGTTTGAAACACAACAACAGCATGGCAAGCCTGGGTTGAGTGAGTTTATCCAAGCTGCACAAAACGGCTAAACTTGCCATGGTCCATTAGGAGAGGAGGGATTTCTATTGATGAATAGCCACTCCAAATAGAAATAAAGGTCTCGAGGAATATCCAGCCAACATTTTTTCTCCAGATTCTTACCCTCCTCCTGTAGCCCCTCATACTGTTTGTTGCTACTGGGTCCTTGCCTTCCTGCCATGCACATTGCAGGGGGAGGTGGGTGAAAATGGAGCATCTGAAGAACTGAGATGGGGGTTGTACTCAAGGTGGGTACAAACGAAGGGCACAGACCTGTACAACAAGGTACAAACCTGGGCTCTGGTCACCCCCAGTGTTGCTCAGTGGTTTCCTTGATTTGGCGGGCTGTATCTTTCAGAGTGAAGTTGTGGTATTGTGGAGGAAAAGACTTATTGCCATCGGTCTTCTCAAGGAGGAGGAAATAAAGTGAATACTAGGAGGAGGCATTAGAAAGCACCATCTCTTGACAAGCATGAATCCTGTCAACTCGGGATGATTTGCTGTTTGCATTCACTCTGTGCATGCCGTGTGTAAGATAAAGGGGAGTAACCTCACAAGGAAGAGAGGATCTGGTTTGGCTCAGTGCTGACCCCTGCAGCGCTCTGATAACTGCCCACCTTTCTTGCAGGGAGACCATTTATGGCAGAATGTGGTACTTCACCTCCGACTTCTCCCGGGGAGACACTGCCCTACACCAAGCTGGCTCTGGATCGACACACCGACACGACCTATTTCCAGGAGCCCTGCGGGTACGTGCTGCTGCTGCTGCTCCACACACACAGTGCAGAAAGCAGGCGTCATTCACACTGATGCAGTTCAGTGTTTGCAGCTCTGCTGGTGGGATTTAGTGGTACTAGTCACACCGTAATTCTGGATCCTGCCTGATTCCTCTGGAGTGGGGTAGTCTGTAGTCTTTCCTGTGCTTCAAACTCCAAGGTCCTCCAGAATGCAGGCAATGAAGGAGTTGGCTGTTAGCTTCAGTGGTAGCCTATGGGGAAGGAGGGAGCAGCTCACCTCTGCACAGCCTGCAGCAAATGTCTCTGCCCTCCCAAGCTGCGTGAGTGGTACCAGACGTACGTGCTGTCCTCACGTATGCCCTGTGCAGTTGCTCTCCTTCAAACTGGTTGGGATTTGCATTTTGGCAATGGTGCAGCCCTGGAGGTAGTCAGAAACCAGGCTTCTCCAGCCCTTCAAAGTTCACACCTGTCTGTGCTTTAAAAAAAAAAAAAGTTTGTAGCTACAGTTGTTTCCCAAATGCTGTTTTGCAAACTGCTTTTCCAATATAGCCTTCGGGCTGCAAGTTTTGTACCTGGCTGGAGAAAGAAAGGCAGCAGCCCGGAGCGGGATTCCCACTAAAGTGCAGGAGGCTTAATTTCTACCTTCATTCTCTTTTTTTGTCTGCTTTCATCTCAATGAAGAAAAGAATCAATGAAATGGCCCTGGGGGAGAACTGATGGAAGGACTGTGACTTCATATGGAAGTAGCACTACAAAGGCTAGGAGAAGCCATCTAGTCTACACCTCCTGCCCTAGGGCAGGATTAGCTCTTCCCAAGTGAGGCCGTTAAGTTGCTAAGCATCTTAATGGGAAGGGGCTGTGAGGCAGAGCTGGAAAAGTAGAGGAGAGCCAAGGGGTGGGATCTACTGCCTACATATGGATTTCAGAGCAGTCCTTCAGGACTCAGGACTTCAGGATCGTGCCAGCCAAGGAGGCACCTTGGTTGCCCATGCCTAACCTAGCCCAAAGCTTTTGGGTGGTAGCATTTGCTCTGAAGCAGCGATGTCCCAGAAGCAAGGTACGCAGTTTTTAGTTTTAGAAGTAGATAAATAAAACTTAAATCCAGGCACATCTTTCAAGACTGATCTAGTTGGCTTCTGTGTTTTCGGTGAACAGCTGACTGTAGAACCCATGTGCTTTCATGGCCTGTGCAGTTACCTGCTTGCCTGACTTGTTTTAGGAGCTCACCAAATCTCCCCCAAAGTCAAACGCTGAAGTAACCAGTAATCAGAGCTTCAGCCTACAGATACGCTTTGATTAAGCTGCTCAGTGTGAGAACTACAGAGCTCATCAGCTATTTTCATACCTTTGTTTTCTACTTGGAAAAGTTCCCTTTCTTTCAGGTAGGTATATTTTCAGCTGCAGTAAACAATGACACTGTGGACCAGGCTAGCAGGGCTAACCATTAATGCTTGCAATCCTGCAAAACCTTAGTTTTGCAGGAAGAACACGAATTTCTTGCTTTCCTGAGCCCCTATCTGCCAAAAATCCCTTCTGCTCAGACTGCTTCAGCAACAATTTAAACTGTCTTTGACCTGCTTCCAGAGGAAAGGTGATTTTTAAAATTTTTTTTCAAGAAAGGTTTGTTCATTTGAATGTCTGCTTTTCCTCACCGCTTTGGGTGAAATCAGCTAAATCTGACAAGTCTCGAGTTACCTTTTTGTAAAGGGTAGAGGAGAGAAACTGCTCAAGGCATGGGAAAGACTGCGGCATTGTCTCACTCAGTGGGCAGCAAAGAGCCTGCCTTCAAAAGAGACTTTCTCAGTGCCCCAAGCTGCACGAGAAGGTGCCTTCAAGGAGCAGAGCCACCAGGGCTTGGGCATCCTGAGCTCCCAGCCTTGTGGACTGACTGAAATTATTTTAAATCTTCTGTGGTTTTAAGGGTTTGTTGAGCCAAGGTGAAAAGGTGCCGGGGAGGCTGGAACTGGGAGCTTGTGCCACATCGATTGCTGCAGGACTGGGTTAAGAGGCATCAAAGGAGATCAGGAGATGAAACCCCAAAAGGTTGTGTTTGTCTTCTGACAGGTGAAGTTGGTACACCATGAAAACTGGCAGTGCATGGCTCAAGGCAGCTCCTGGGTGTTTGTTTCTGAGAATGCAAGGTCTAACAGGCTTGGATGAAAAGGGAGGGAAAGAACAAATCTTCAGAAAAGTAAAAAAGCAAAAGCTATTTAGCTGAGTTGGACAGCTTCCTGCTAGGGAGGCAGTGCCCCTGTAGGTAGGGTTCTCATTCGGGACTCCCCTGCTCCAGGCTTCTCAAGGGATCTTTAACATGTCGACTCAGGGGGCTCCTGATTACCTGTGAGAGACCCTGATTTACGTGCCTTTGTGTGAGAGTCACCCTGAGCTCCCCTTGCAGTTGCTGGAGACCTCAGCAGTACCACCAGCATGTCTTCAGCTGCCCCCTTGTTCTAGGGAAGTTAGTTTTGTGCTTTTGAACCTCTGCATCCTGCAGCCCAGATGGACCTTGTGGTGCAGACACGTGCCTGCACCACTTCAAGTCTCCCAGCTCGCATGGTTTGATCTGGGAGATGGTGTAAGCAGTAGACGTCTTCTCAGAAGTCAAAACGCATGAGAGCTGAAGAAACATCGGGCAGAACTGCTGCTTGCTGAGCAGTCTCCATTCCTTAGCAGGTGTTAGTGAAACGAAGGAGACAACAGATAAGCGTGTCGTAAGCGGCAGATACATCAGTATGCGTTGTCTGGGTCTGGGGGAGCACATTCTCTCCACAGGACAGACATCTGAGGTCTTTTCTCTTGTGCTCTGCATTCTCTCCCCCCTGCAGCATCCAGGTGTTTCACTGCCTCAAGCACGAGGGGACGGGCGGGCGCACGCTGCTGGTGGACGGCTTCTACGCGGCGGAGCAGGTTCTCCGGCAAGCCCCCGATCAATTTGAGCTGCTAAGCAAGGTGCCCCTGAAGCACGAGTACGTCGAGAACGTGGGCGACTGTCACAACCACATGATCGGAGTTGGGCCAGTCCTCAACGTCTATCCCTGGAACAACGAACTTTATCTGATCAGGTAACATCAGTGAGAGAGAGGGAGGCCTTGTGCATACAGGGATAGGGTTCTGTCAAAATGTGGTGGTTTGCAGAAGAAAATTCAGACAGAAAACCAATGTATGTTTGATGGAGGGAGTGAAACCACAAAAACACCGTGTGTTTCCTCCTGGGTTTTGCAATGCTGCCTTTGAGGAAGTGTCAGAACCACTGATGCAAAGAGGGGCATCACTGCTGAGCTTTGCTTTTAGCTCCTGTTATCTTTATCTCGTGCCCTCGGCCCCACTGAGGGCTAGTTCAAGGGCTTGCTTCAGACATTTTTGCCACTGTGTGTGTTATGTAGGAGCAGCACCGTTAGATCTGGGTATGAGCAAATGCCCATCCTACTGCCAGTCGTTAGAGCCTCACTGGGGTGACCCTGATCCTGCCCCATGTGAAGTGTCTAAGCTCATGTTACTTCATTTGAGAGCTCCTTTTGAAATTCCATCTTGGCTTAGCACAGGAGGTCATCCAGCACTATTTTGCACTTCTATGCTAAAAAAAACAACACCTAGTCTCATCTTTGCTTGTCTGTGGTGGTTTGCAGAACCACTACACCAGCTAGTGCGAGTTGCTGGCACTAGTGCCCCTTATCCACGTGAGCAGCCTGCCTCTGTTTAGAGCCTGGCCTTTCCTCAATAGCTTGGAGCTTCTGGCTGAGCAGACAGCGAGCTGCTAGGTTGTGTGGGCTTCATTTCCACTGAGGGGAGAGGTTTTCAATATACCTCGCTGCTGATGGGCTTCTCTTTCATTCCCACTTTTCCTTTCCCACCACCGAGATTGCATGGGGCAGCCTTCCAGATCTTTGGAGGCTACCTCTGGGAACACCTGGCTGCTCTTGGGGCCCCATAAGCAGTCTTTTTTCTGTCGCCTTTACCTCCAGATACAATAACTACGATCGTGCAGTCATCAACACGGTGCCTTACGATGTGGTGCATCGCTGGTACACCGCTCACCGCACACTCACCGCCGAGCTCAGGAGACCAGAAAATGAGCTGTGGGTCAAACTGAAGCCAGGCAAGGTAGGACTCGGAGGCTCACCCGTGTTTGGTACGGGCAGGGAGGCAGGGTGCCCTTCTGGATGTTGCCGCAAAGGTGCAACCTTCAGGCAAACCCTGTGCTGAAATTTTCCTCTTCACAGCTGTTTTAAGGTGCCTTGTATTCCAGTGATGGCATCTGTTGCATGTATATTCCTACTTTTGTGAAAGAAGATACAGTTAGCTCAGACCAGGGGAGAGGAGGAAGGTATTTTCAGTCACTGAACGAGGACCCTTGGAAGCATGCACTGTTTGGCTTCTGTCTTGTTCCAGAAGCAGAGAATTTTTAATGGAAAAGTAAAGGGCACGTGGAAAGCTGAATTTGCTTCTATTCTGAGGTTATATCTGAATCCCTACATTGCCAGCGAATCACAGGAGACCTGAGCTCTCCTCACTGTCCCAGAAATATCTTAGCACGTCTTGGGACTAAAAGGGAAAAGCTCTGCCCTGGGTTTGAAAGGCCGATGCTGGGTGCAGTTTTGGAAGAGCTTGAAGGGCGAGAGCTTCATTCACAGACTTAGAGGCTTCTTCCACCAGCTGTGCCTGCTTGAAAGGGTTTTTATTCCTACAGGGTCTAGATGGGTCTAGATTCAGTGTGAACCCAGGGCCCCAGGTATGAAAGATGCTCACATCAAAGAGCCTCTACAGCTCTCTGTTCTCAAGGATGCTTGGGGAAAAGTGACACGCTGGAGGCTGAAAATGACCAGTTTCTGTTGCTGGTGCGCTGTTGCCCAACCTCTGCAGCACAAAAGCAAAGCAATGACCCAGAAATACTTTGCTAGCTGACCCGTTTTAACCTGTGGTTAGCAGCGGAGCCGGCCGCTGGCTTCAGGTACTAGAGCTGTGCTAGATCAGATCAGCCACCTGCGTACGGTTTCATGCTGAACGGGAAGGTTACAGCTCCAGCTCCAGGACCCGTGGTGTCAGCGGGTCCTGGCTCAGCTGCGGTGCTCCCCCTTGTCCCAACAACCTCTCCTCTTCCCTTGCAGGCACTCTTCATAGACAACTGGCGCGTCCTGCATGGGCGGGAAGCGTTCACGGGGTACCGCCAGCTCTGTGGCTGCTACCTGACGAGAGACGACGTGCTGAACACCGCGCGCCTGCTGGGACTGCAAGCCTAGCGCCGGCCACCGCCGCGGGGAGGCAGAGCTCCGTGCTGCTGTGTCACCACGAGGAAGGCGTTGTACGTACCTCAGACACCTCCGCCCTCTCAGAGCAGTTCTCTCTGCCTGCCCGGGAGAGGGAGCAGGTGGCAGCCCAAGGTTATGGGAGCTTTTTGGGACCGCGTTCTGCCTCTGTCCAAGCAGGGTCAGCTCGTGCTGTCTGTGCAGCCAGCCAGTTTGTCTCAGCTGCAGTGAATCGGGGTTAACACGCTGTGAGAAGTGCTCCCAGCACCTGTTGATGTGAAGTGCTCCTCTGATCAAGTGCCTTCAGGATCTGAAATCTGTTTCTTCTGTTGTTCAGCCTTTCCTGTCATTTCTATTTTTTTGTTTGGCATAGCAGAGCAGAATGGATATACCTGGGGTCTCGTCTCACCCCAGTCTGGACTTCACAACTTCTAGAAAAATGTAAAGTCAGGACTTTACACCTTCTAGAGAATTTTTTTCTCTAAAAAAAATTCCTTATTTTGATGGAAGTGCCACTACTCAAACTGAGGGCTGTTGGCATGTATCAGTGAATTCCTTCCTCTTAAACATACTGCGTACCCTTATAACAGGCACTGATACAATCCATGCTGCTTGAGGGGTGGCCTGGAAAGAGAAGCTCTTGTAGTTAGGGTATTTCTGAAAAGGCTTACAGTAGAAGAAAAAGGGGAAGTAGTAAAATCTGCATGTTGGGAAGGAGAGATGTGTTGGATGAGGGGTGTATTTCTCATGTTTTCTTGACCTCAGTGATGTAATGCTGTCTGGTGTTCTTTCTGCCAGTTGCACCATGCTTATACTGAGAGTCAAGGCTCGACAGCTGCAGTGTTTACTGACATTTCCCACTGTGCCTACTCTTTCATCTTTCTGAAGGGAATTTGTCTTAGGGCATCTTTACACTGGCTGCTGGATGAGGCTGACTCTTTTTCACCAGAGTTTTCCATATGAAGGTAATAAACACAGAGGTGCCTTTCAGCTCCTGGTGGTAGGGAGGATAAATTGGAGAGTTTGGCACACTGAACAACCGTAGTGTAAGGAACAAAAATAAGTCCCATATTACTAGAAAAATAGAAGCTGTAAAACCAAGAGAGGACTTAGGTTTTATTCTTCTGTTCTTCCTTATCTTTGGGGATATCCACTCTGCTCTGACTGGACCTGAAAACAGGGCTGGTCCTGTTCCCTCCTGGCTTTCCTGTGCAAGCAAAATGCTGTCATGCCTAAGGTACAAGTGCAGTGCAGATGCACGTGTGCTAAACCTGCTGCCCTCATTGAATCTAAATACTGAATGTATAGATCCTAGTGCTAGGAGGCACTCTTAAAAGCTTCTGTTCTTGTGGACTGAGCTACCTTATGCTGTCTTCTGCAGCATGCCCTGCCTGCAGGGAGCCGTCAGGAGATGAAAGGGGTTTCAGAGCCAAGGCTCAGGAAGCTGTTGATCCGAGGACACGTAAGGAAGTGAAAACTGGGCCACATGGCAGCAGGCACAGAGCGAGCTGGCTTCTGTCAGGTCCTGTTCTCACAAGGGCTGAGGATGGCAGCCTCAGGCATGGGCAGGAGCTTGAGTTTTCCTCTAGGCTGAGCCACTGGGTTCCTCAAGCAGCCTCCAGTATACATTACTTCTGTTACTTTCTTTGCCAAACACTTGGTTTATAGCTTCTCCTTAGATGCCAGTTATGCCAGCGTAACTCGAGTATGAAGTTTTGGAAGTCTTCATTAATCTTGAAGTAGCAGCCCCCTGTGGTTACGTACGCTTCTCGCACAACCCATCTCAGATGCTCCAGGGTGGTTCCACCTTGTACTTCTGGGTGAAGCCAAGGCCTGGAGCATGTGAGGAGAGGTCGTGACAAAACCAGCCTCTGTTAAATGGCACAGGAGGGGACAAAGAGCCTGATCAGTATTTCAAAACCTGTTGAGGGTTCCTGAGTGGCTCTTGTCTCCCTGTGCTCCCTGAGAATAAGAGGGAAAAACACTTGGGTTCATGTGGAACCCATCCCTTAGTCACTGAGACCAGCTTTACCTTCCTCTGTGCAGGGGATCTCCGTTTTTATCAGCTGCAAGCCAAAAATCCGCTGCTGCCCTGAGGTGGAGCGTGCAGGACTGTGGCTATCACAAGGGAGAACTGACCAAACCGTGTTGACAATTGTAGCGATACCTGTGCCTTTGGTGAGGAACGTGGTTATGGTACCTGCCTCCCGCTGAGCGGTGTGGGGCTGCCAAGAGCTGTGGTCTTCAGCAACCAGACTCCTCTTCTGAGCCACCTCCAAGCCAGCGCAGTCCTCAAGGTGATTGTGTCATGCGTTTGGGGGAAAATTATCCACCATGAATGTAGCAGACACACATTTTCTCATAGGTGTTCAGCTTAATTTAGCCACTTCAATAATAAAATGGGGAGGGGGAGAGCTTTCTTCCCCTTCCCCTCTTCCCAAGTGGACTAAGTTCTTCCTAAGCATCTTGTGAGCAGCAAAGCCTTATTTGTAGAAACAGGAGTTCTGGGCAATTGCAGTCTGATGTGGATATCTGTTGCAGAACTGGTTGTTTGCTGTAATGAGATCGGATCAGTTTTTATAATCCAGCTCTTTCAGTCCTTTCAGCCAATAAATGATGAACTGCTTCCTTCTCCCTCCCCGTGCACTAGGGTACCACTGTATGTGTTTTTAAGACATTTTTCAAAGGTAAGAAATGGAGTAAGTGGTGATGTATTTTACTAAATGAGTTACATAGTGGTCAGGTTAACAAGACCTATATTTCAAGCAGTCTTGAAGTCTGTATTACCCATCAAAGGTGAAATAAATCTGAGAGGGGTAAATCAATGCGTCTCCAAGGGCTTCTCTGTGTTCATTCTTTTCACTGGCCACACGATGGCAGAAGAGGCAAGGAACAGGGAAAAAATGAGTCTTAAAAACTGAGTGACACATCACATCCACCTGTGACTCTAGGCCTGAAGCAGCTTCTGTTTCTTGCAAAAGAGATAAAGGATAATAAGAAGGGTTTTAAGTATGTAAACAGTAAAAGGAAGACTAGGGATAATGTGGGTCCCTTGCTGAACGAGGGGATGTCCTGGTAACGGGAGATGCCGAGAAGGCGGAGATACTGAACGCTTTCTGTGCTTCAGTCTTTGCTTCAAGGACTCCCCCTGGGACTCCTGGACCCTGTACAGAGGAGAAAGGGTCTGGGAAGTGGAGGGCTCCCCGTTGTTGACAAGGGAGTGGTTTGGGAGCATCTGAGTGGGCCCAGCGCACACAAATCCATGGGTCCTAATGGGATGCATCCACGTGTGTGTCGTGGTTCCACTCGGGGGCAGCCGAGCTCCACCACAGCCACTCTCTCATTCCTCTTCCTCAAAGAGGAACGGGAGAGAATACGATGAAAAGGGCTCAAAGGTTGAGATAAGGACAAGATGAGATAAGGACGAGAAGATCACGCAGTAAGTATTGTAACAGGCAAAACAGACTCGGCATAGGGAGATAGTAAGATTTATTGCTTATTACTAACAAGCTAGAGAAGTGAGAAACAAAGGAAAGAAACCAACCCTCTCCACCCTCTTCCACCTCCTCCCCCCGAGCGCGGGCGGGGAATGGGGGTTATGGTCAGTCTACAGCACTTCTTCTCTGCCGCTCCTTCTTGGTCACTCTCGTCCCCTGTGCTGTGGGGTCCCTCCCATGGGATGCAGTCCTTCCTGAACTGATCCGGCGTGGGCTTCCCACAGGCAGCAGCTCTTCCAGACTGCTCCAGATATGGGTCCGTACCACGGGGTCCATCCCTCAGGAGCAAACTGCTCCAACCTGGCTCCCCCACGGGCAGCAGCTCCTGTCAGGTCACCTGTTCCTGTGGTCTCCTCCACGGGCTGCAGCGTGGAACCCTGCTCCACCGTGGTACTCCATGGGCTGCAGGGGGACATCCTGCTTCACCATGGGCCTCACCACAGGCTGCAGGGGACTTCTGCTCCAGTGCCTGGAGCACCTCTCCCCCTCCTTCTTCACTGACTTGGTGCCTGCAAGGCTGTTCATCACTCCTTCACTCTCCCAGCTGTACGTGGCACAGCATTTTTTTTCCCTGTCTTAAATCTGCTCTCACAGAGGCGCAAAACAACATCGCTTATTGGCTCGGCTCGGTCTGTGGGGCCCTTACCAAACATGGGGCAGCTTCTAGATCCTTCTCACAGAAACCACCCCTATGGCCCCTTGCTACCAAAACCTGAGGTGCCTGAAGACTTGGGGAGAGCCAGTGTCACTCATGTCTTCAAGAAGGGCAAGAAGGAGGAACTACAAACTACAGGCCAGTCAGTCTCACCTCTGTCCCTGGAAAGGTGTTGGAGCAGCTTGTTCTGGATGCCATCTCCAAGCAGTTGGAAGAGAAGAAGGTTATGAGGAGTGGTCAGCATGGATTCACCAAGGGCAAGCGTGCTCAACCAACCTTGTTGCCTTCTGTGATGGCACCACCAGCTGGGTAGATGGGGGGAGAGCAATGGATGTCATCTACCTTGACTTTAGCAAGGCTTTCGATACTTTCTCCCAACATCCTGATAGAAAGCTGAGGAAGTGTGGGACAGAGGAGTGGACAGTAAGGTGGGCTGAGAACTGGCCGAGCTCAGAGGGTGGTGATCGGAGGAGCAGAGTCTGGCTGGAGGCCTGTGACCAGCGGTGTTCCCCAGGGTCAGTGCTGGGTCCAGTCTCATTCAACGTCTTCATCGACGACCTTGATGAGGGAATAGTGTCTGCCCTCAGCAAGTACACCACTGACACAAAGCTGGGAGGAGTGGCTGACACGCCAGGAGGCTGTGGGGCCATTCAGCGAGACCTGGACCGGCTGGAGGATGGGCAGGAAGAAACCAAGTGAGGTTTAAGAAGTGTAGAGTCCTGCGCCTGGGAAGGAACACCACATGGATCAGTACAGGTAAATTTCCCACCCGTGCGTGTCCGAGGACCTGCAGTTTGCCACAGGGTCCATCTCTCCCTAAACACCTGCACCTGAACTCATTCCCTCACTGCATACACACCTTCCGTTGCCTCTGCTTGCCCTCTGGTCCCTTCTGGCCACCTCCTTTTGGCCTGCAGTGACACCCACGTCTTTCTTTGGTGTCTTGTCCCCTTGGCATCATTACGCTTTTGGTGCTCCCTAGAGCAATCTCTCAGTGAATGCAAAGCCTCCCCTTGGAAAACATCCTTCAGTCTTGTGCTTGCATCCTGAATCTTCTTTACTTAGCTGAAAGCCATTTACCATTTTACTACTTGAAAACATAGAAGCTATTTTAACAGGCTCCTTTATCTAAGTAAACTGGAAAAAAATATTACCTGGAGTTAATCATTAACATAATTAAACACTTTAGTTCAAACCAGAACTGTCAGGATCACGCAGACACGGAGGGATTTTGTGGGGCTTTCATATTGCTTTGTGGGGCGATACAAAGTCACAGAAGAAATGAGGTGGGAGCAAGTCTGGAATATTTGGAAAGTATCACGATTTTGAGAAAAGACGGATGGGTCAGGAGAAATCCTTGTGGTGAAACTCAGATGCTCGGGGAGGGTGGGCTGCTGCTTATAGTATGGGAAATGCTACAAGTGACGTGCAGACCATGCAGGAACCATGGCAGGAACCAGCTGGCCCTGAATCTCTTCCTTTCACCTCCCATTTTACAGATGCTCTGCGGATTCTTAAATGATCCACGGGAATGCAGATGTCTGAGTTGGTACTTTACAGCAGCAGCGTGAGCAGTCTCCATCCAATGGGCCCTTTGTATAAAAATAACATAAAACAGCCCAGTGGAGTGATTTGGGAAAGCAGGGAGAACTCTGCACAAAGAACGATGCCAAGCCTCTCATCACTGAACTGAACAGGTCTTAGAGCAAGGGTCCTGCTGCAGCCCGGACCTACGGTGTGATTTTAGTCGTGCAAAAGCTATGGTTGGAAACACCCCACCCACGCGCTGTGAGGGTGGCGATGGACTGGGCGAAGGTGGCACTGAACCCAGCACCCCCAGCCTACCACCCAAAGCCGTGGAGATCACACGTCACAGCTGCAGGCTGACCTGCAGGAGGAAGGTCTGAAAACCACCTCGACCGTCTGTGAGTTACAGCCAAGTATGGAGGGGTGTGAATTTTCTGGTTGGTGCTGAAGCTTTGTTGTTCGAGCTGTGGGTGCTGCGGCTTTGAAGTCCCCCACAGCAGTCAGACACTCTTCCCTCCCAGGTGAGCTGTCTGACCAAGTGAAAGCCAGAGCCCGGTGCTGAGCACTGGGAATGGGAGATGTGCAATGGGTACCGTGTGCCGGAGGTGGGATGGCCGTGCATCTCTCTCGTCCGTTGTGCAGGATGAATCGTGGAAGGAATCCACAGGGCACAAGAAATGGAGAAGGATGGTGGCCCAAATCCTGTGGTCCTGACCAAGGAAGCCAGGACTCCAAGCCAAGATCTCTTTTTCACGGAGGTACAGAAACAGAGCTGGCACTTCAGCACTTGCATCTCAGACCCACCCTCCTGGAGAAGACTCGTTGGTGTTTTCCTTGTCGTTCTTGACAGCCTGACTTCTCAGGGTTCTGGCGTGGAAAACACCTCGGGGGAGCTGTTCCTTCCAGGCTTGGGGTGATGCTGGGTCCGGGTGGCTCAGGACACTGTCACGAGTGGACGATGCAGCTGCAGGTAATGCTGCCCATGCAGGTTGGGTCTCCTGCAGCAGCATGAGGGTCCCATCCTAAGAGAAGTATCTTAGAGGTGAGGATGCAAAACCTAGCACACAGGTGTTATGAAAGACGAATTAATCACTTCCTCTTACCTGTGTATCTATTTCAGCCAAAAGGCAGTGGTTCGTCCTAAGACTCGGGACGGAATCAGATGCTGCTTCCTGGGATATTTTGCCTGATATTTTGGGCTATTGAGGTCCAAGCACCAGGACTGAATGTAATTTATGGGGACCCACAAACACAAGGGGTCTCCAAATCATGAGTAAGTGATCTCTTCCAGTATTTTTAATTCCTCTTTTCTGTTTATTGGTTTCTTGAACTCCTTTGGAGCATGGTGCCTTGTTCTTGGTGATGAACGTGTAAAGGGAGTGTGGTTTTGATGCTATGCCATGGTGCAAGCTTTGGGCTGTGGAGTGACAGCAATGATCTGTTTGCAAATGAATTAATATTAAGAACAATAATTATTCTAATTTTTACAGCTCTGTGTTCTTTGTCCAGTTCAGAGCTTCCTAAAATCCTCCTAAACTTCTCGGCACACTGCTGCTGCCCTGCCTGCAAGCTGCCACCAGCACGCTTTGCTTGCAGCTCCCAGCTGAGCTCCCAGCCCCTTTGACCATCAACCATATCCTATCCTACCCACTGCAAGCGTGCTCAGTGCAACAGGAAGGAAGAGGAAGAGGGAGGATAGTGTGAAATCGCTCACCATCAGCAGAGCACTGCTCTTGAAGATGCGGGTTGGGGAGCTTTGAAGCTCTTGGTGTTTTGCAGAACTCCCTGCTACCCTAAGGTGGTCAGTGCCCGCCAGAGTCCTTGAGGTCTGCGGCATCTGAGGGTGAACTGCAGCAGGAAGTAGAAAAGCAAAGAGAGACACGGCAAAGGTGAGCGAGAGCTCATCTGACGTGGTCCATGCTCACAAACCAGCAGGTCCGTGCCCTCTGCCAGGCTTCTGGAGAGATGTCTCCCTGGCATCGTCAGTGCCCCTGCGATATCTGGGCTGCTTTCAGGTCCTTTGCTGCCACCAGTGCTTCCCTTCCAGCTGCCCTTCTTGTAGCAGTTGTGGGGAGCGTTGCACATCTCTGCCTGTCAGGTGGCAAAGAAGGAAGATCCAGGGGAAGCTTCTGCCTCTCCGCCTGCGTGGAGGTTGCCCGTGCGTCCCTGTCAGGAGCCCTTCCTTTCTCCATTTCAATACCCTTTATATTTATATTCCAATAAATACCCAGTATGTTTATATTCCAATCAATATCTGTTATATTTATATTCCAATATCTGGCAATAAACATTTCCAAGAGGGAGGTAGAGCTCCTCACCGTGGGAGGAAGCTGCTCTTTGGAAGCCCACGGACCGAATGGCACCGAATGTTTTTACACCAACAGCCAGGGCTGGGCTCCGTGCAAGAGGCTTGTTTCAGAGCACCACCCTTACCAACCTTGGCAGACTGACCTCCTCCCTGAACGGGTCTGCATGCAAATTCTGAGGTCAGCACAGACGCCCAGCTTGTCACGGAGACACCCTGCGTGCAGCCAAGGGACGGGATGTCTCCGCAGAGCTGCGCCGTTGTCTGCCTCAGCCTGATGCTGGTGGGTAAGTTGGGATGGGCGAGCGGAAAGCACCTTGGGTGCTGTGGGAGCTGCAGTGGGGTAAGCTGAGATCAGGAAAGGAAAGGAAGAAGCTGGTGTGACTGTGGAGTGCTCACCTCAAGCACAGATGGCTGGGGGACGTTGGGGAAAGATCAGGGGGTTGCTGTGCTCATTCCCAAGCATCAGCCGAGGGCTGACCAGCAGAGATGTTCATGGAGCTCCTGCTCCCTGCTCGTGCTGCTGTGCAAGTGCTGCTGGACGTTGGGGAAAGATCAGGGGGTTGCTGTGCTCATTCCCAAGCATCAGCCGAGGCTGGACCCAGCAGAGATGTTCATGGAGCTCCTGCTCCCTGCTCGTGCTGCTGTGCAAGTGCTGCTGGTCCCTGGGTGGCCCGTGAGGGGGGATACCTGCAGGATGGCCGTGCCAGCTGGAGAGCTGCATCCCGTGGGCATCACCACCGGGGATGAAAGGGATGCGTTTGCTGAGAGCCAGAGGAGGTGCGTGAGGAAGTGGTGGTGGGCAGGGGGGCTGCGAGCGCTGTGCTGCAAGGGGAGGGAATCTGCCGCTGATCTGCTGATCCCTCTGCAGGGCAAAACCTGGGCTTCCTCCTGGAAATCCCGCAGGATGCAGTCACTGGCACCGTGGGGCAGTCCATGCTCCTGCCCGTCTCCTACAGATGCAACAGCACCTCTTGCTTCCCACTGTCAATTAGGTGGATGTTTGGTCACACCTCACAAGTAATCATCGCCTGCACAGTGCACAACTGCTCCCTGGATGATGGGGGGGCTCCCAAGAACTGCTCCACAACCTGTTTCCCCCATCCTGCACATTGGGGCCATGCTGAGCTCTTCCCCGAGAACGCATCCCTGCTGCTGCGGGACCTGCGGCTCAGTGACAGCGGGGTGTACACCGTCAGCTTCTTATGGAAAAGACAAATCAGGCACATCACCCTGACCGTGCTCCAGCAGCCTGTCCCCACAGATCCTACCAGCGAAGGTAAGTGTCCCTGTGCTGCCCTGGCAGCATTCCTGCCCCTCCTGATGGGGACAGCACGGGACCCCTGCGGAGGTGTCCTGGGGAGGTGGCAGCCTCCCGCTGCCACATCTCCTCTCTCCTACCGCAGGCACTTCTCAAACAGCAGGAAGAATAGCCACACGCATCCCTTGCTGCATCCTCGGAGGCTGCTACTGCTTCATCCTGCTGCTCCTGCAGCTGCTCTTCCACCTGTGCTGGCTGCGGGGCAGCCGTGGGGAAGCCTGCGGCTGCTGCTGGGGAGAAGGGAGCCAGCGTGCGGGAGCAGCCAGGGCCGGGGCACAATGAAGTGCCCAGAGTGGGGGCACAGGGGACACCCACAGCCCCCTCTGTCCCCGCAGCCCCAAAGCGTGCAGGTGGCACAGGAAGGAGCCGGGGCTCGCCCGCCCGCCCGCAGCGAACCCCACGGCGCCGAGGGGCTGAGCGAGAGCCTCCGACTTCCTCCTGGCCCAGGCGAGCGCAGCAGCCGCAGGCGATGTGTCCCGGCCGGCGCTGCTGGGGCCTCGGCTCCCTCCTGCTGCTGCTGCTGCTGCTCGGTGAGCTGGGGACGGGGCCACTGCGGCTGGAGAAGCCAGCGGGACGAGGCTGGGGCCAAGGGCTGGGTGCAGGTGATGCAGAGCGCTCCCTGGGCGGCTGCGTCCATTGGGGTCCCCAAACACAAGGGCACTGCTCTGAGGTCTGGATATGAGGCTCCTGTCAGGGGCGGTGTGCTGTACTGCGTCTGGCTGGGATGTCAGCTTTCCCTGCAGCAGCCCACACAGTGCTGGGCTCTGCACTTGCAGCTGGAGCAGCAGTGGGATCAGCCCAGTGCTGTGTCTGCTGCTGAGCAGAGCTGGCACGGCACCAGGGCTCTCTCTCACCTTCCTGGGGTGGGCAACGAAGGGAAAAAGGAACATCCCCAGGGCAGCTGCCCTAAACCAACCAAAGGGATATTCCGTACCACCTGGTGGCACACTCAGCAATATCGGGTGGAAAAAGGAGGAAGAGGGGAGAGCTGGGCTCTTGTTGCGAAAACGTCGGTCCTCCTCACAAATACCGGCTACGTGCATTGAGGCTCTGCTGCAAGGACGTGGTCAAGCACCGCTCACTTGGGAAATAGAGTGTAATTTCTTTCCTCTATACTTCAACACAGCCTTTACAAGTTTTGTTTTGCCTTTTTTTTTTTTTTTCTCCCTTTCCTTTTTTCCCTTTAGTTGAATTGTTTAATTAATGCTAATCTTTCCATCATAATTATTTTTTCCCTTAAATAAAATGACCCCTGTATCAACCCGTGAGTTGTCCTTTCCGTTACTTCTTCCCCTCCTCTTCAAAGGAGGGGGAGTGAGAGACAGGTTGTGGCGTTCAGCAGCCTACCACGGTAAAACCACCCCATGGGGCAGGGTGGGCTGAGCGCTGTGCTCCAAGGGGGGAGAATCTGCCGCTGCCCTGCTGAGCTGCTGAGCTGCCTCTTCCCCTCTGCAGGGCGAAACCTGGGCTTCCTCCTGGAAATCCCGCAGGATGCAGTCAATGGCACCGTGGGGCAGTCCGTGCTCCTGCCCGTCTCCTACAGATCAACAGCTCCCTTTGCTTCCCACTGTCAATTCTGTGGAGGATTGGTCACACCTCACAAAGAACCATCTTCTGCAGCAGTGCACAACTGCTCCCTGGATGATGGGGGCACTCCCAAGAACTGCTCCACAAACTGCTTCCCCATCCAGCACATTGGGGCCGTGTTGCTGCTCTTCCCCGAGAACGCATCCCTGCTGCTGCGGGACCTGCGGCTCAGTGACAGCGGGGTGTACACCGTCAGCTTCCAACAACCAAAGACAAATCAGGAACATCACCCTGACCGTGCTCGAGCAGCCTGTCCCCACAGATCCTACCAGCAACAGTAAGTGTCCCTGTGCTGCCCTGGCAGCATTCCTGCCCCTCCTGATGGGGACAGCACGGGACCCCTGCGGAGGTGTCCGGAGGAGGTGGCAGCCTCCCGATGCCACATCTCCTCTCTCCTACCGCAGGCACTTCTCAACCAGCAGGAAGAATAGCCACACGCATCCCTTGCTGCATCCTCGGAGGCTGCTACTGCTTCATCCTGCTGCTCCTGCAGCTGCTCTTCCACCTGTGCTGGCTGCGGGGCAGCCGTGGGGAAGCCTGCGGCTGCTGCTGGGGAGAAGGGAGCCAGCGTGCGGGAGCAGCCAGGGCCGGGGCACAATGAAGTGCCCGCATGCCGGCCCCACAAGGAAGGCGCTCAGCTGCTGCCTCGGGGCTGCTTTTCCCTCTGGCACCTGCCCCTCTGCTGGACAAACCGGGCTCCCGGCCCCTGCCTGCCCCAGTGCACAACCACTCCCCACGCTACATACCCCTGCTGTGAAATTCCTGCTCCCAATTCAAACACCAAATAAAACACCTTTCCTCTGGCCTCCCTGTCTCCAAAGTGCCTGGCATGGGGCTGCAGCACCACCTGAAGCAGTTCCAGCAGCAAAGCGAGAGCCGGGAGAGATTCCCAAAGCTTTCTGGCCGGCCCCAGGTGGCAGTGGCACCTCGCAGTGGGGCTGGAGACTCCAAAGGCTGCTTTCGTGGGGCAGGGGCTGTTGGATGCTGAGGCTGAAGGGTGACAGCTTCAGGAACATCCTCCAAGCGATTGAGCTGCATCCCCTGGGAAATCGTCCCCCAAAATGGGATGCGATGGACGCATTTTCTGGCAGCTCCCTGCTGTGAGCGTGGAAGGTGCTGGGGCAGAAGCAGCGCCCGCAGTGGGGGCACAGGGGACACCCACAGCCCCCTCTGTCCCCGCAGCCCCAAAGCGTGCAGGTGGCACAGAAGGAGCCGGGGCTCGCCCGCCGCCCGCAGCGAACCCCACCGCGCCGAGGGGCTGAGAGAGAGCCTCCGACTTCTCCTGGCCCAGGCGAGCGCAGCAGCCGCAGGCGATGTGTCCCGGCCGCACTGCTGGGGCCTCGGCTCCCTCCTGCTGCTGCTGCTGCTGCTCGGTGAGCTGGGACGGGGCCACTGCGGCTGAGAAGCCAGCGGGGAGGAGGCTGGGGTCAAGGGGTTGTCAGGGCAGGTGGTGCGGAGCCCACCCTGGGGTGGCTGCGTCCAGTGGGTACCCAAAATCAAGGGCACTGCGCTGAGGTCTGGGCGTGAGGCTCCTTTCGGGGGGCGGTGTGCTGTACTGCGTCTGGCTGGATGTCAGCTTTCCCTGCAGCAGCCCACACAGTGCTGGGCTCTGCACTTGCAGCTGGAACAGCAGTGGGATCAGCCCAGTGCTGTGTCTGCTGCTGAGCAGAGCTGGCACGGCACCAGGGCTCTCTCTCACCCTCCTGGGGGTGGGCAAAGAAGTGAAACAGGAACATCCCCAGGGCAGCTGCCCTAAACCAAGCAAAGGATATTCCGTACCACCTGGTGGCACACTCAGCAATATCGGGTGGAAAAAGGAGGAAGAGGGGAGAGCTGGGCTCTCGTTGCGAAAACATCGGTCCTCCTGAACACCGGCTACGTGCATTGAGCTCTGCTGCAAGGACGTGGTCAAGCACCGCTCACTTGTGGAAGTCGAGAGTAATTTCTTTCCTCTGCACTTCAACATAGCCTTTACGAGTTGTGTTTTGACTTTTTTTTTTTTTTTCCCCTCTCTTTTCCCCCTTTCCTTTTTTTCCCTTTAGTTGAATTGTTTAATTACTGATAACCTTTCCTTCATACTTATTTTCTCCCTTTAATAAATCATTATCTCATTCCGTGAGTTGTTCTTTCCATTACTTCTTCCCCTCCTCTTCTAAGGAGGGGGAGTGAGAGACAGGTTGTGGCGTTCAGCTGCCCAGCACGGTAAAACCACCCCATGGGGCAGGGTGGGCTGAGCGCTGTGCTCCAAGGGGGGAGAATCTGCCGCTGCCCTGCTGAGCTGCTGATCTGCCTCTTCCCCTCTGCAGGCGAAACCTGGGCTTCCTCTGGAAATCCCGCAGGATGCAGTCACTGGCACCGTGGGGCAGTCCGTGCTCCTGCCCGTCTCCTACAGATTCAGCAGCACCCCTCACTTCCCTATGAATATTAAGTGGACATTTGGTCACCCCTCACAAGGAACCATCGCCTGCACCGTGCACAACTGCTCTCTGGATGATGGGGGGGCTCCCAAGAAATGCTCCTTTAGCTGTTTTCTCCTACCAGCACGTTGGGGCCGTGTTGAGCTCTTCCCCGAGAACGCATCCCTGCTGCTGCGGGACCTGCAGCTCAGTGACAGCGGGGTGTACACCGTCAGCCTCCAGCACCAAAGACAAAGCAGGAAACATCACCCTGACCGTGCTCGAGCAGCCTGTCCCCACAGATCCTACCAGCGAAGTTAAGTGTCCCTGTGCTGCCCTGGCAGCATTCCTGCCCCTCCTGATGGGGACAGCACGGGACCCCTGCGGAGGTGTCCTGGGGAGGTGGCAGCCTCCCGATGCCACATCTCCTCTCTCCTACCGCAGGCACTTCTCAACCAGCAGGAAGAATAGCCACACGCATCCCTTGCTGCATCCTCGGAGGCTGCTACTGCTTCATCCTGCTGCTCCTGCAGCTGCTCTTCCACCTGTGCTGGCTGCGGGCAGCCGTGGGGGAAGCCTGCGGCTGCTGCTGGGGAGAAGGGAGCCAGCGTGCGGGAGCAGCCAGGGCCGGGGCACAATGAAGTGCCCGCAGTGCCCGGCCACAAGGAAGGCGCTCAGCTGCTGCCTCGGGGCTGCTTTTCCCTCTGGCACCTGCCCTCTGCTGGACAAACCGGGCTCCCGGCCCCTGCCTGCCCCCAGTGCACAAACCACTCCCACGCTCACATACCCTGCTCTGAAATTCCTGCTCCCAATTCAAACAAAATAAACACCTTCTCTGGCTCCCTGTCTCCAAAGTGCCTGGCATGGGGCTGCAGCACCACCTGAAGCAGTTCAGCAGCAAAGCGAGAGCCGGGAGAGATTCCCAAAGCTTCTGGCCGGCCCCAGGTGGCAGTGGCACCTCGCAGTGGGGCTGGAGACTCCAAAGGCTGCTTTCGTGGGGCAGGGGCTGGGCGTGCTGAGGCTGAAGGGTGACAGCTTCAGGAACATCCTCCAAGCGATTGAGCTGCATCCCCTGGAAAATCCCCCCAAAATGGGGATGCGATGGACGCATTTTCTGGCAGCTCCCTGCTGTGAGCATGGAAGGGTGCTGGGGCGAAGCAGCGCCTGCAGTGGGGGCACAGGGGACACCCACAGCCCCTCTGTCCCGCAGCCCAAAGCGTGCAGGTGGCACAGGAAGGAGCCGGGGTCGCCCGCCCGCCCGCAGCGAACCCCACCGCGCCGAGGGGCTGAGAGAGAGCTCCGACTTCCTCCTGGCCCAGGCGAGCGCAGCAGCCGCAGGCGATGTGTCCCGGCCGGCGCTGCTGGGGCCTCGGCTCCCTCCTGCTGCTGCTGCTGCTCGGTGAGCTGGGACGGGCCACTGGCTTTGCCCTGGGGGTAGCTTGGGGGTTGTGGCTGGAAAAGCCAGCAGAGAGGAGGCTGGGGCCAAGGGATTATCAGGCAGGTGATGCAGAGCGCTCCCTGGGACGGCTGCATCCATGGGGTCTCCAAAAATAAGGGCGCTGCACTGAGGTCTGGTGTGTGGGCGTGAGGTTCCTGTCAGGGGGTGGTGGGCAGGGTGGGCTGAGCGCTGTGCTCCAAGGGGGGAGAATCTGCTGCTGCCCTGCTAAGTGCTGAATTGCCTCTTCCCCTCTGCAGGGCGAAACCTGGGCTTCCTCCTGGAAATCCCGCAGGATGCAGTCATGGCACCGTGGGGCAGTCCGTGCTCCTGCCAGTCTCCTACAGATGCAACAGCACCTCTTGCTTCCCACTGTCAATTGGTGGTTTGTCACACCTCACAAATAATCATCCTGCACAGTGCAGAACTGCTCCCTGGATGATGGGGGGGCTCCCAAGAACTGCTCCAAAAATGTTTCCCTCTCCACATTGGCCGTGTTGAGCTCTTCCCCGAGAACGCATCCCTGCTGCTGCGGGACCTGCGGCTCAGTGACAGCGGGGTGTACACCGTCAGCTTCTTAGAAAAGACAAAGCAGGCACATCACCCTGACCGTGCTCGAGCAGCCTGTCCCCACAGATCCTACCAGCGAAGGTAAGTGTCCCTGTGCTGCCCTGGCAGCATTCCTGCCCCTCCTGATGGGGACAGCACGGGACCCCTGCGGAGGTGTCCTGGGGAGGTGGCAGCCTCCCGATGCCACATCTCCTCTCTCCTACCGCAGGCACTTCTCAAACAGCAGGAAGAATAGCCACACGCATCCCTTGCTGCATCCTCAGAGGCTGCTACTGCTTCATCCTGCTGCTCCTGCAGCTGCTCTTCCACCTGTGCTGGCTGCGGGGCAGCCGTGGGGAAGCCTGCGGCTGCTGCTGGGGAGAAGGGAGCCAGCGTGCGGGAGCAGCCAGGGCCGGGGCACAATGAAGTGCCCACAGTGCCCAGGCACAAGGAAGGCGCTCAGCTGCTGCCTCGGGGCTGCTTTTCCCTCTGGCACCTGCCCCTCTGCTGGACAAACCGGGCTCCCGGCCCCTGCCTGCCCCCAGTGCACAACCACTCCCCACGCTCACATACCCCTGCTCTGAAATTCCTGCTCCCAATTCAAACACCAAATAAACACCTTTCCTCTGGCCTCCCTGTCTCCAAAGTGCCTGGCATGGGGCTGCAGCACCACCTGAAGCAGTTCCAGCACCAAAGCGAGAGCCGGGAGAGATTCCCAAAGCTTCTGGCCGGCCCCAGGTGGCAGTGGCACCTCGCAGTGGGGCTGGAGACTCCAAAGGCTGCTTTCATGGGGCAGGGCTGGGTGGCTGCTGAGGCTGAAGGGTGACAGCTTCAGGAACATCCTCCAAGCGATTGAGCTGCATCCCCTGGGAAATCGTCCCCCAAATGGATGCGATGGACGCATTTTCTGGCAGCTCCCTGCTGTGAGCGTGAAGGGTGCTGGGCAGAAGCAGCGCCCGCAGTGGGGGCACAGGGACACCCCACAGCCCCCTCTGTCCCCAGCCCCAAAGCGTGCAGGTGGCACAGGAAGGAGCCGGGGCTCGCCCGCCCGCCCGCAGCGAACCCCACGGCGCCAAGGGGCTGAGCGAGAGCCTCCGACTTCCTCCTGGCCCAGGCGAGCGCAGCAGCCGCAGGCGATGTGTCCCGGCCGGCGCTGCTGGGGCCTCGGCTCCCTCCTGCTGCTGCTGCTGCTGCTCGGTGAGCTGGGACGGGGCCACTGCGGCTGGAGAAGCCAGCGGGGAGGAGGCTGGGGCCAAAGGGTTGTCAGGGCAGGTGATGCGGAGCGCTCCCTGGGGTGGCTGCATCCAGTGGGGTCCCAAACACAAGGGCACCGCGCTGAGGTCTGGTGTCTGGGTGTGAGGCTGCTGTCGGGGCGGTGGGGCAGGGTGGGCTGAGCGCTGTGCTCCAGGGGGGAGAATCTGCCGCTGCCCTGCTGAGCTGCTGATCTGCCTCTTCCCCTCTGCAGGGAAACCTGGGCTTCCTCCTGGAAATCCCGCAGGATGCAGTCACTGGCACCGTGGGGCAGTCCGTGCTCCTGCCCGTCTCCTACAGATGCAACAGCACCTCTTGCTTCCCAGTGGCAATTAGGTGGCTGTTTGGTCACACCTCACAAGTAATCATCGCCTGCACAGTGCACAACGGCTCCCTGGATGATGGGGGGGTTCCAAGAACTGCTCCACAACCTGTTTCCCCATCCTGCACATTGGGGCCATGCTGAGCTCTTCCCGAGAACGCATCCCTGCTGCTGCGGGACCTGCGGCTCAGTGACAGCGGGGTGTACACCGTCAGCTCCAGCACCAAAGACAAAGCAGGCACATCACCCTGACCGTGCTCCAGCAGCCTGTCCCCACAGGTCCTACCAGCAAAGGTAAGTGTCCCTGTGCTGGGCACAGGCACCTCCTGCACTGCCCCAGCTGTGGGAAGCATCAGGCACAGACAGAATTTCGGTCCCTCCTTCCATGGGGCCAAGCCACTGCAGCAAAGAGAGGATTCCCAGGGGTGTCCTAGGTGCTGCTGGTTGTGCTCCTCCAGTTGTAGCTGGAAGCCCAGCGTTCCTCCCTCTGCCACCGTTAGCTAGAAGTACGAGTGAGTGCCTCTTGCACAGCCGCTTGTCTCTGCAGGAGAAAGGCTCCACAGCAGCGTTGCCTTTAGCTGAAAGGAATGGCTGCAGAGAATAAATGGGAGAGGTGGGTTCAGGAACCCAGGCACCAGTCTGGGTCCTGTACTGGGAAAATTGGTTATGTACTGGGCAAATATATTATGTACTGGGGCAAATATTTCCTGGGGAGAATAGGGCACTTGGGGGTAAATCAGCGGCCACAGAGGCTGAGGAAAAAATGCACCAAATGCTCTCCTACAGCTCTGGTGCAACCCGACATGCAACGTCCATGAAATAATCACCAGGGCAGTACCTGCTGCCACTGCTTTCCTTTAGGAAGCACTTACAGCACCTGTTGTCTTCCAAATGCCAGGCACCAGCAATCAAGACCACACACATAACTACATAATTGGAGCTTGCTCATTAATCTTCCTCCTTCTGCTGTTCCTGGTCTTCTGCGTTTGGCGCTGGGGTAGGTGGCTCTTGCACTGCAAACTTTGAGGTTGCACCTCTGGTTCCTTCGGGCATATTCCCTGGGGATAAAGGTAGTGGGGGGGCTCTGGAGAGGTTCTGCTCTTCACACCAGAATTATTCCTTTCCTGTGAGGTCCCCTTCAGCGTACCATCTCCTTCCAGCTGTAAAGAGTCACAGTTTCTAGTTTGTGATGCAGCTGAATGAAGCAGAAGCACAGCACAGGGCTGTTGCAAAGGTTTTCTGGAAAGCCCATACCTTCTGGAAAATAAACCAGCAAGGTGCCTATCTCCATGGCTCCCATCAAAGCCTTCACCCCTGAGGATGCCTTTGTCAGGAGACAAGTTCATTTGTTTCCACGGGGGAGATTTCACCCGTGCTTGGCTGGAGCAGCCACAGAACTCTCCGTCTTGATGGCAAAATCCTCATCAACCCCCTTGGTTAAAGTGCCAGTATATTATCTCTGGTCCTCCAGGGCTAGGATGGGGAGGGTGCAACCTGTCGGTAACAAAACTTTCTTTTTCCGAGGTGCAGTGCAGAAGAAGAAGATGAGAATCGTTAAACAACAGCAGGTACAGAAAAAAAATTTTGAATGTTCTTTGGGTAAATGCTAACTGCTGGTTTGAATAAGATGCACTGAGATACAAGAATTGGTTGCTGAATTTAAAATTAGGAAGTTAATTCCGTGTTGTAAGGGCAAGCTGCAAAGTGGTAAGTGACCCTGGGGTACTCCTTTTCCCTTTGACTGTTTCCCCTTGCCTCCCTCCCGACCCCAAAAGGACCTGATTTTACCTTCGTGGCTGAGAAGCCAAGGGACAGCTTTGGCTGACGGCAGCCAGGAGGGTGCAGAATGGTTAAATGCAGAGCAATGTGCAGATGATCACCCTTCTCTGCCTGGCAGCCTCATGGGTTTCTGTCGGGGCACTACTTGAGGGGTCTCTGTGGGCCGTGCAGACAGCCAGGATCAACCCCGACCCTCCCATGGGCAAAGCCACCTGGGCTTTACATAGCTCCTGCTGAGTCCTCCTGGCTTGCAGTTAGCAGCTCCAGGACCCCTCCTGATCCCGACATCCTCTGGAGAAGGCTCTCTCTCACCCTGGGTGTTTTCTCTGTGCTTCTCAGGAGCCCCCCGAGGATAACACTGCGGCGGGGGAAATAACAACTATTTATTCCAGAGTCGGAGACAGCTTTGAACATCCAGGGCTGAGAGAATCAGCACAGGTCATCTACTCATCCATAACCTCCCTCAATTCCTGAGGACAGGACCAGGCACCACCAGCTCCTGCTTTGGCTGCGGGAGCTGCCCGCAGAGCTCTGAACTTTGCAGGAGAGAGCCCTGCGCAAAGGTGGCTGGTGATTTTGTCACGGACCAGAGAAAGGGGCCCAAGGTAAAGGCAAATCAGCCGTGCATCCATGGGAAGCCTGATTCCACTGACTCACCTTAATCTGAGGGCTAACGGAGAGCACTGGATGTATTTCAGTCCTGTGCTCCAGGGTCACTTACCAATTGTCTTGTCATACTGAACGAATGCATGAAGAAGACCTTTTGACCTGGAAAGCTGTCCATATTTTTGGACAGTATGCCAAGTCACTGGGGAGCAGACCCTTCCTGCCATGAAATCTGCTTGGCCTTGGGATCCCAGGGCAAATGGTTCCTCTGCTGATCGTCTGAAAAGTCCCCTTGAAGGGCAAGGAGCTGGGGCTTTCTGTGCAATGGAGTTCCTGGCACATGGTGACGTTCCCTTAAAACTGTTTGTACAGGTGGAAGAAAGCTGAGATGCCTAACTCTGTTTTAAAATTAAAGGCCACATCTCCCCTAGCAGCAACAGCTTTTTTAAAATGCAGTAAGGGCATAAATTGATTTGGTTTTGCTCTGGGCTTCATGGAAAACAAGAGAGAACATCAGTAATAAACTGGGGGCCCCATCAGTAATAAATGGATGCTAGGACAGGACAAGAGTGCTAGGCATCTCCCGACCACAGCCTGACCAGAGAGGGCACGGAAACTGCTGCTGCTGCCTTCCTCTTTGTGTGCTCCTGTGTCGGCTGGGATGATGTTCAGGAGGGACAATGATGATGACAGTGGTGGTCCAAGCCCCAGCATCAGCAGCCCCTCCCCTGGCTCCGGGTGAAGGACGTGGCTGCTCTGCTCTTGGAAAGCCCTGCTGATCTTCACGACAGCAGAGGTTCTTTTTTCTCCAGAAAATAGAAGCTCCTTGTGACTTAATAAAACCGCAAAAGCTGAAAAGTCGCCTTGGGTATGCACGAAGCTTTTGCAGTGGTTAGCATGAAGCCTTAAGTAGCAGGAGAGAAGAAAGTACTAAAAAAAGTGAAGCAGTAGAAGATAATTGCACAGGAAATGTGACTATCAGTCCTCAGGCGTATGTGGTCACTGGTTGTCCCCTCAGCAGACCTCATGTTGTTCCTGACCCCTGCAGAAGGATTTGGAAACGCCATTCCCGGAGAGCATGGCAGGACAAGGGAGGACTGCTGAGATCTGCTCCTCCACAGCTTTGAGTGGAGTCCACCCCAGCAGAAAAAGCTCTTGATCTCCCCAGTGCCTGCTAGAGCACAAAATAATCTGCAGCAGGTTAATAACCTAAAGACCGAGGTCTGAATTTGGACACCAGAAACACAACCACCCCTTAATGAGCCTTGTGTGTCCCAGAGCAGCTTCTTCTTGGAGAAGACACCTTTGGAGAGCCCGGTCCCTGAAACGTCACCTGCAAAGAAGACCTGCAAGGCAGGGGGGAGGGGGATTAAATCCTCCCTGTGGGACCAGGGCCTCGGGGGGCACCAGGGAGCCCTTGCAGGAGGTGGTGTCCTGCTGCACCCATGCTCAGCTAAGGCACAGGGAGCAAAGTGCCCCTTCTTCTTCCGCGGGTTTTCTCAGCTAAAATAAAGTTTTGCAAGAGTTCCCAGAGTTTTGCCTTATTCTCCTGCTCTTTGGTAGCATTGAGGCACGTTGTGCTTTCTTTTTGGCAACTCACTTGCTTTTGGACTAAAATTCTCTTTCTGCCGTCCTTGGTCTCAGGCGGGTGAGTTTGACCATGCCACGCAGAAGGGGTGCAGGACTTGGGGTGCCAGAGGAACTGCAGTGCCCGGTTCTGGAGGTTTTGGGAAGTGTTTGGTCCATGCATCTCTAGAGAAAGGCCTGTGTCTGCTGGTGCTGCATTGGCACTGATTTGGCCCAGTTTTGTGCTCGTGAGGCCTGCTGAGACCTGCCCTCCAGGGTGGGCCATATGCAGAGGGGATCCCTGCATTTGTGGCGTGATGAGGTTGAAACTCCACACTTTTTGGGGGCTACACGTGTAGGCCAGGGGAGGGGAAAGCAGGCCCATGCGTGCCTCACACAGCAGCACGGTGCAGGCAGACCTCACAGCGAGCCCACAGCTCCTCTCGTGACCCACGCTGCGTGCAGAGCACAGAGGGAACTGCAGAAACCGAAGGGAAAAAGAGAAACTGAATGAGCAGAGGGGGGGGCTGGACGGCCACACAGGCTATGTGGTGCTTTGTGTGCTTCCCTGTCCCTGCCTGACTCTCACCCCTGCTTGCCCCGAGCTCCCACCACCAAAGGCCTTTTGTTCTCACCCACACCACCTGTCTCTGCCTCTAGCCCCCACGCTGCAGCCCCGCGCTGCTGCTGCCATTTCATTTCCTTCTCCGAGCGGCTTCCTCGCAGGCCTCTGCCTCCCAGCCCCCTCCTTTGCTTGCTCTTTGCAGCTCTTAAAGGTCAGTGTGGCTTTCTTTGTGGCTGCAGGCGGCTCGGTGCTTGCAGGTCTTGCAGGTGCTTCTCAGACAGTCGCTAGCTACACCTCAGAGCAGCTTCCTCTGCTGGATACACGCGGCCTTTGAATTAACGATTCAGGTAGTGCACCGGTCCTCTCTGCGGCCTTGCCGCTCACCCTAGTTTATTCTTCCATGTTTTAGTCACAGAATCAAAATATTAGGGATCGGAAATCCATCCCATGTGTCTGAAAGCATCTTCTGGGGCTGACAATGAGTGGGGCAGGGGGCCTGGTAACAAGAGGGGTGGAAAATGCCGAGGTACCCAGTGCCTTCTTCACCTCGGTCTTCACCGGTACTTGTGTTCAGCAATCCGAGGGCCTGGAGAAGGTCTGGAGCAAGCAAGGTGTGTTCTTGGTGGGAGGGGACCAGATCAGGGAGCACTGAAGCCAACTGGGCATATATAGGCCCATGGGGCCTGAAAGGATGCACCCACAAGCTCTGAGGGAGCTGGCTGATGGCAGTGACAGGCCACTCCTGATCATCTCCGGGAGGCTGTGGGAGGTTTCTGAAGGCTGGTGGAAAGCAAATGTCACCCCTACCTTCAGAAAGGGGCAAGGAGGACATGAGGAAATACAGGACGGACAGATTCACCTCAATTCCTGGGCAGCATTTCCCAGCACATGATGGGCAAGAAGGTGATTGGAAGGAGGTAGCGTGGATTTAGGAATGAGAAATCCCGCGTAACCAACCCAATAGCCTTCTGCAATGAAGGGGCTGATTGATGGATGAAGGGAGAGCAGATGTCACCTACTTCCATATCAGTAAGGCTTTTGACACCATCTCCCATAGAGATGGCACCACAGCATCCTCACAGAGAAGCTGATAAAGTATGGTTTGATAAGTGAATTTATTAGTATGGTGGGGCTGGAAACTGGCTAAAGAGCCAGGCCCAGACATTCAAAACCCAACAGGACATGGAAGTGGGCAACCAGCTCTAGGAGACCCTGCATGAGCAAGGGGTAGACTAGATGACCTCCAGAGGTGCCTGCAGACCCACACTCTTCTGCCTTTCTTGGACTCTGGTGCTGTTTGCTCAGAGGGAAAGGGTGTCCCATGGCTTCACCAGGACTGATCAGGTAGAGGAGTCTCTTTACGTTTTTGTTTTTTTTTTTCCCCTCTCATTTAACCCTAGATGGAGAATTTAGGAGTGTTCTGTGTGAACAATCAGCCGAGCACCTCCTTGGCAAAGGCCGAGGTCCTCAAAACACTGCCACAGAGACGCTGAGATCGACCAGCAAATGTAGTTATCTTTTTCACTCAGGCATTTCTGTTTTCTAGCAGAGAATGACCATCCCTTCACAACTATTTGGGCTGCAGCAGCCTGACCATACCTTCACAACTATTTGGGTTGCAGCAGCGTGACCATCCCTTCACAACTATTTGGGCTGCAGCAGCGTGTGAGTGGGAGAGAGAGGCCTGGTGCTGTGCTTTTTGATAGGCTGTGGCATGAAATTCGCATCTGCTGGTGGTCAGACACTCTGCTCATCTTTCTCCAACCGCAATAAGCTGCACTGCCCGAAGCAGCATGTGTGGAAAATCTTCCTCACAGACAATATTTATAGGGTTGTGCTGCTGTGTTTGGTGTTTAATCTCTTCCATCCCCTTGAAAGGTGCAAGGTGCAACAAATGCCCGAAAGTAAGTGCCAGAAAAGCTTTTAAAGGTTCATGTGAAAGGAGTTAGCTTGCCTCATTTTTCCTGCAGTTCATCCAAGATTAAGTGGAAAACATGATTTTAAAGTTTTCTTCCAAAAAGTTGTGGAAGGAATGATGCTAGAGTAAGCCTGATATAGAAAAATGTCTCTTTGGAGTGGTGGGTCTGGATGATGGGGCATGGTGGGACAGGTGGGTGGACTACCTTCATCTGTGACAGTTCATCCTTCCGGCAAACAATAACACATCTGCCCAGAGAAAGAAAGCTTCATCCTGTCACATATTCTTGAAGGCAACTTCAGCTGAATTGTCACCCTGATGGCTGTTGTCGCACATTGATGCATCTGTTGCAGCTGCAAGGGGCTACCCAAGCGATGTGCTGCTTTAGGGAGGGGACAGAGCTGCTGCTCCCTGTGACAAATCACATTTTTCTGCTGCTGTTTTGCACCAGCACCCTTACACTTCTATCAGTTGCTTTTAGTTTTGCAGCTCTCCAAGCTCACAGGATGCAGCAGTGCTTCACTATGACAGAATGCACATGGCCTGTGCTGTGACCTTACGTGGAGGAACCAAGATGGGAACAGAGAGCCTGCACTTCGATAGCCACAGGGAGAAAGAGAAGTTCATTTAAAAATGAAAATACGGAATTGTGAAATGACTGGCTGCACAGACAGCTGTCTTGCTCCATCTTGCTCCAGTTTTGGGGGTCACTCTCGGCAGGGCAGTAAAGCTTTCCCTGCTGCTCTGGGGCAGATCTCCAACCTTCCCGAGCCTCTCATCTCTCTGCTCCTCAGCCTAGAGCATGAAACTTGGTCCTTAGGTGCTCCTCCAGTGCAAACCCCCTTACAGTGAAATTCCCTTTGTGGAAAGCTTGTGGCACATGGGTGATCCATTCTGCACCTGTCTTGGTGCAGGAAAAAGCCCCTGGCAGTGGAATAAGTGTCTCCGAGCCCCTGCCAATGCTAAAAGCAGGTTAGAGGACCAGAAACAGGCTTAGGGAGCTGAGGCCCTCTCCCAGGGACAGGATGGAAGATGCTTGAGCTGCAAGAAAGGGATGGGATGATGGATCTTTGGCCTCAGGGCATGGAAACAACCTGGGACATCACCTGGGATTTATATTGTCCATGCCGGCATGGAAATAAGAAATACCCCCTAGGAGAGAAGTCAGATGGGTTCTTCTCCCTGGGTTGTTCCTGGCCAGCAGGCACTGCATTTCTTGTGGTGGGGCCGCTTCTGGGGTGCAGCCCTGCTCTGCCCAGCTGCAGCCTGGCTCCTCGGAACGCAGTGCCACTCCTCCCCGCAGGAACAGCAGCGGCTTCACGGCACGCCGGGCGGGAGCGGCTGCTGGCAGCAGAAAACCTCCCAGGAAAGAGGAGAAGAGGCAGCAGGAACGGAGAGGAGCCATCAGCAGGGAAACGGTGAGCCTGGTGCCAGCCCACCCTCGGCACTGCCCTCCTGAGCATCAGCAATCCAACCCCCTGCAAGCAACTACCTGACTTGCAATCATCATTACTTTCAAAATACAGGATTTTTTGAACCTTTTCTCCTTGGCAGATGCAGCTGCACCGTCCCATAGAGCTGCTGGGGACCAGCTGGATGCTCCTGGCAGGTAAAGTAGGGGATGATGCCACCCAGCAGGCTCGGGGCTGGATTCTCACCTGCTGCAAACCAGCAGAGGTTTCAGCAGAGCTTTGCAATTGTGCGTGGGTAGAGCTGGTGCATGTGGAGTAGGCTTTTTAAAGGGGACAAATTGCTTGTCCTGCAAGGAAGGGCATCTCTGCTCCACTGTCCAAAGGCAGAGGAGGTAGAAGCAACTCAGAAGCATGGAACCGGGAATAAACATCCTCTGCGGGTAGGTTTATCTGAGACCAGGATATGTAACAACACAGAATTTATTGCAGTTATGGAAATAATCTCACTGTGATCTTTATCAAAGCACCGGACGGCTTGAAGCACAAATGTACAAAGCTTTTCAGAGTGAACAGCTGAAATGGAAACCAAACCTGTTCAGGTATATGCACTGTTTGCCAGATGCCATGGTGTCAGGGAGTGCTGAGCATCTACAGGATGAGCTTTGCGTATTGCAGGAGTACAGAGATGCTTGTAATGAAATATTTTCTCTTATTTTGTGCTGACAAATGCGTGTAAAGAGTGCTCTTCTAGAGCACGGGGATTTTCAATTATAAGCTTGTTTCTTCTCCTCGCACATCTCTCACAGTTTGGGGGGCACAAAAATAAAAACCGATGGCTGTTCCTCGAGGTCACGAGCCTGAGAAGTGCAGAGCCGTCAGCAGGGCTTGGTTTGTTTGCGTTCTTACGCCTAATGCCTTGTGCTGCAAAAGCACCGGGAGAGATTACCGGCCGGGGCCAGTTCCCAGGGCTTTGCAGACAGCAGGCGGCAGTGTGAGGCACGCCAGCAGCTGCGAGAAGGGAGGATGCTGAGCCTGCGCTGCTGGCTGGGGCTCCTGCTGCTGGCCCTGCTCCGAGCATCTCGCCCGGACACTCAGGGGCAGCCTGGCAGCCCCGAGGGAGGGAGCTCGGGCAGAAATCCCAGCGTCTGCATCAGGAGGAGCACAGGACAGGAGCTCTTGTGGTGCTGGATTGCACCGGCAATTTCACAGCTGGTTAGTGAGCCTACGAGGGGTGGTGCCCCGCTAGACCTTCTCTTCACAAACAGAGAAGGACTGGTGGGAGATGTGGTGGTCGGGAGCTGTCTGGGGCAGAGTGACCACGAAATGGTGGAGTTCACTATTCTTGGCGAGGCCAGGAAGGGGACCAGTAAAACCACTGTATTGGACTTTCGGAGGGCTGACTTTGGGCTGCTCAGGACACTGGTGGGCAGAGTCCCTTGGGAGGTGGTTCTGAAGGGCAGAGGGGTCCAGGAAGGCTGGGCGCTCTTCAAGAGGCAAATCCTAATGGCGCAGGAGCGGTCTGTCCCCATGTGCCCAAAGACGAGCCAGTGGGGAAGAAGACCAGCCTGGCTGAACAGAGAACTGTGGCTTGAGCTTAGGAGAAAAAAGAGGGTTTATAATCTTTGGAAAAGTGGGCAGGCCACTAGGGAGGACTATAAGGATGTAGCGAGGCTGTGCAGGGACAAAATTAGAAAGGCCAAAGCTCATCTGGAGCTCAATCTGGCTACTGCCATTAAAGATAACAAAAAATATTTTTATAAATACATCAACACAAAAAGGAGGACTAAGGAGAATCTCCATCCTTTACTGGATGCGGGGGGAAACTTAGTTACAAGAGATGAGGAAAAGGCGGAGGTGCTCAATGCCTTCTTTGCCTCAGTCTTTAGCGGCAATACCGGTTGTTCTCTGTATACCCAGTACCCTGAGCTGGTGGAAGGGGATGGGGAGCAGGATGTGGCCCTCACCATCCACGAAGAACTGGTTGGTGACCTGCTACGGCACTTGGATGTGCACAAGTCGATGGGGCCGGATGGGATCCACCCAAGGCTACTGAGAGAACTGGCAGAGGAGCTGGCCAAGCCCCTATCCATCATTTATCAGCAGTCCTGGCTATCGGGGGAGGTCCTAGCTGACTGGCGGCTAGCAAACGTGACACCCATCTACAAGGGCAGACCCGGGAAACTACAGGCCTTTCAGTTTGACCTAAGTGCCAGGGAAGCTCATGGAGCAGATCCTCTTGAGAGTCATCATGCAGCACTTGCAGGGCAAGCAGGCGATCAGGCCCAGTCAGCATGGGTTTATGGAAGGCAGGTCCTGCTTGACGAACCTGATCTCCTTCTATGACAAAGTGACGTGCTGGGTGGACGAGGGAAAGGCTGTGGATGTGGTCTACCTTGACGTCAGCAAGGCATTTGACACCATCTCCCACAGCATTCTCCTCAAGAAACTGGCTGCTCTTGACTTCGACTGGCACACGCTTCGTTGGGTTAGAAACTGGCTGGATAGCCGGGCCCAAAGAGTCGTGGTGAATGGAGTCAAGTCCAGTAGGATGCCAGTCACTAGTGTCGTCCCCCAGGGCTCGGTGCTGGGGCCGGTCCTCTTTAATATCTTCATCGATGATCTGGACGAGGGCACAGAGTGCACCCTCAGTAAGTTTGCAGATGAAGTAAGTTTAACAGTGTGACCAGCAGGGCTAGGGAGGTGATCGTCCCCCTGTACTCGGCTCTGGTGAGGCCGCACCTCGAGTACTGTGTTCAGTTTTGGGCCCCTCGCTACAAGAAGGACATCGAGGTGCTCGAGCGAGTCTAGAGAAGGGCGACGAAGCTGGTGAGGGGCCTGGAGAACAAGTCCTACGAGGAGCGGCTGAGGGAGCTGGGCTTGTTCAGCCTGGAGAAGAGGAGGCTCAGGGGCGACCTTATTGCTCTCTACAGATACCTCAAAGGAGGCTGTAGTGAGGTGGGGGTTGGTCTATTCTCCCACGTGCCTGGTGACAGGATGAGGGGGAATGGGCTAAAGTTGCGTCAGGGGAGTTTTAGGGTGGATGTTAGGGATATGGTTTATTGGGGACTGTTAGTGTTAGGTCAGAGGTTGGACTCGATGATCTTGAGGTCTCTTCCAACCTAGAAATTCTGTGATTCTGTGATTCTGTGATACTGTAATTCATTGGATCCTTGCCTGGATAACTGCTATGTATTTCATGGCTATTTTTATTTCTAAGTAAACAATTACCCTTCCTTTCATTTCCTGTGCCTAAGCCAGACTGTTCATCTAAGCTCTTTGCAATCATCAATTTTGTTTGCTTGTTTTTAAAGCATCCACTGCACAGGCTGGGATTTTAGCAGTGATTTCTGCCTGGCTTTTCCCAAAAAACTCTTTTTCTCCACTTGGGGCTGTGACCACTTGCAGTCCTTGGAGCGTCACTTAGAGCCCAAGCCATGACAAAGCCATAAACTGCCACGCATCTGGGGGAAGCAGCTGCATCCTGCCCAGGTGTTCACAGGCAGATGTTTTCAGCTCCACACAATACCAGGTGCCGGGGATGAGATGCTTGGGAAGCCCCTTCTAGGCACAGACGGGGAGGGGAGGCCACCCCCACCCCCACACAGCTGGAGCAGAAAAGGTCTCAGCCCTGCAGCCAGGCTTCTTCAGCCACCCCTAGCAGCTCAGGCTGGGATGCCTCCCTGCCTGGTGACGTGCTGGTTGCTGGCAGTGCTTTGTGAGACGTGATCACCAAGCTGTCCAGGTGCCACCTGTGTGCCCTTGGCACAGCTTCTCCCAAGACTTGCTCCACCTCCCAGCCCTGTCTTGTCTCCATCTTCTGCCATCCAGGGCTGCTGGTGCCTTTGCAGCAGGCCGCGGAAGCAGAGGGAGCCCTGCAGAGAAGAGTGGTCGTGGTGGGCTCCTCCGTGCTGCTTGCTGGGCCAGCTGATGCTGTGCACATCCACTCCGCGCGCTGGGAGTACCTCAATGGCTCCGTCTCCCGCGCCGTCGTGCAGTACGATGAGGGGTCGCACTACGTGGCCATCCACCCACCCTACGTGGGACGAGCCCTTTTCCATCCACCCAATGGATCTCTCCTCCTGGAGGACCTACAGGAAAGCGACAGCGGCATCTACAAAGTGACCATCAACCTGGCAGAAAGGGAGAGCCTGAAGGTCTTGCTGGATGTCCTCAGTAAGTGGTGGGCACGGGAGGGAGGAGCGGGGTGATGGATACAAGCGGAGGAATGTTTCTGGGCTGATCATGAGGAGCTTGGACCAGCCATGGATGGAGCCATCGCAAGGGGAACTTGGGGCAGAGCCTCCTGGAGACCTCTGGGCGACCACCAGGTCTGGTGGTGCTGCCCTGAGAGACCTCCTGGAGCTGTGACAAAGGGCTGGCCCCCATCCTGGAAGGTCCTTCCTCCCTTGTTCTCCGCTCTCAGTGGAAGGACGGAGGGACCGGGTGGTTGTGTCCATTGCTAGCTCTGCAGCATCTTTAGCAAGGTTCTGGTGGGACTGATGGAGCGAAGCCCAGCAGGGTGCTTTTACAGAGGAGTCACCAAAAACCTCCCCCTCAGACCACACTGGCTGAGCAGCTGTCTGCCATTTCCAGGCGCCAGCCGCCGTTGCAGAGCTAAGAGCACATTGTAAACAACACAGAAGCTCGTCCTGCTGCTCCTGCCAATTCCCTTAATTTGCTTGTGTGCTCGATTTTCTTCCTAACAAGGCTGTGGCCATGATGCTACCGCAGCTCCCCACCATTCATTTTCCCTTTTGCTACACAGAAGTCTGCCTGGGGACTGTCTTTCCTCTTCTTTTTTTTTTTTTTTCTTTTTCCCTTTTTTTTTTTTTCCATATATTAAATTATATTAAATGCTCTGTAACAACTCAAACACAATATAAACAATGACTCAGCTAGGAAAAATAAATAAATACCAGGAAGCACAGCAGCTCCAGCAGCGCAGGACCTTCTGGAGAAGGGCAGCTGTGATTGCATCCTTGCAGACTCCAGGATGCAGTGGGGAAAGCTGCTCCAGCTCGTATCTGAGAGAAGTGCTGGTGTCTCTGTCCTCTTCCCAGAGCCCGTGTCTCGCCCTCAGCTCTGGAGCAGTGGCCTGGTGGCCAAGGCCACCGGTGAGGTGCTCTGCGAGGTGGTGGAGGGCAGGGTGGACACCATCACCTGGAAGAAGGACGGGCAGGCGCTTCCCCGGGGCAGAGGTTTCCACGTCTCCGGCAGCCTCAGCATTTTGCACCTGAGGGCGGTGAAGAAGTCGGACTGCGGCTCCTACTCCTGCAACGCCAGCAATGGGATAAGCTGGCAGGAGACCTCCCTGAATGTCACTGTTGCAGGTGCTCACCAAAACAGCAGCTCAAGTGGTACTTTCCATGGGCCCAGGGAAATGGGAGATGCTGCTCCCAGCTCCCAGCACTCTTCCTGCTCTCCACCCATCCCCAGCACCCCGGAGTGCTCTCAGCCCCTTCTTCTTCCCCCATGCCCCAAGGCCTGGCCCCCATCCCGTGAGGCGGTGGCCGACACACACCATTGAGTGGAGCTCCCATCGTGCAATGCTCAGCAGCAACTCCCCGTCTCCCTTCACACCTCTGCCTGCCCCCAGTCCCGTTCTTGTCGGATGGGCAGCAGGAGGTTGGCCATTCCCTCTTGGAGGAGGTCCCAAGGCCCTTGGCCAAGGCGATGGTGGGCAGGATGTGGGCAGAGGGTGGTGGGCAGGGTGCCTGTGGGCAGCACACAGCCCAGCGCGGATGTTTCGTGGACCAGGGCCTCCAGCAGAGGCTCTGATCCACCAGCTGGCAAAGCAAACCCATGGCAGCCACGGGGAGCTCCACGGCCCAGCATCGCCATCCGTGCTGGTCCTGTCGGTGGCCTCATTCCCAGAGCCCTGGGTTGTTTGTTTCCAGGTCTCTCTCCTCCCTGAAGGATGTGCTGAGGATTGCAGTGGTCGCCGTGGTCTTTGCTGCTGTCTCGGGATGGGGATTAGTTATTCCCGTCTGCCAGTCCGAAAAGCTGCGAATAAGTGAGTCTGCAGCGAGGGGCAGCCGAACCCCCAGTCCCCGTACCCAGCGGGGCAGAGCCAGGAGCGATGCTGCCAGAGGAGCCAGTAACTGGCTCATTCCCCTTCCAGCTGCCCGAACTTCTCACTTTCTCCTCGTCTGGCAGGTCTTTTAAGAGTAAAGAGAGAAACCTTCCTTGGTGGATTTTGTTTTTAAGGGAGAAAACTTGTTTTGCTCTGTTTTCAGGCTAGGTTAAACCCTGGCGTTTCCTACGCATCTTTGCTCAGAGGATTGAAACGACTGAGTGACACTCATAGAAATGAAGCATCTCAAAGCATTATTTTTATGAGAAGGCTCCATTTTAATAGTGTTTAGCACACGCTGTGCCGTGGGCACAGAGCCCCTCCCAGCTCCCCTCTCTCTGGAGCAGGTCAACCCCTCCGTGCCCCAGGCAGGGACCCCCCAGTGCTGCGTCCCACCCAGGGGAGGGCTGGGGGCTGGCGCGGGATCCCCCGTGGGGACGCAGGTGTCACCTCGCACTGCTCTGGGTGTCTAGGGGGGAGCTGTGGCGGTGGCTCAGCGCCTACACCTGCGGGCTGGTGTGCGTCTCCTCCATCCTGGCTGGCACTGCCGGGCTCCTCTGGATGCGAGAAGAAGGTACGGGGCGTTTTGGGGGGCGGTGCGGCGCGGACCCCTCTGCTTTCCCCCATGCAGGGTGCAGCATGCAAGAGTAATCCTTGCTGTGCCAGACAGGGAGCTGCTTGCAGGGAGAAGTGATGCTCAGCCCTGAAACGTTTTCTTTCAGGCCCATCCATTGCCGTCATATTGCCGGAGATTGTCCTTCTGTACGTGATTGTGGTCACCTTCCTGGTGGCCGCCAACGTGACCTTCCAGCCTACCAAGCTCATCCAGCTCAAAAGCACAACAGGTGAGCTGTTCAAGCATGGCAGGGATGGAGATCAATAAAAACAGGTGTGGGGAGGTGTTCTTTTGTGCAAAATCTCATCCTTTGTGTGCCAATTCATGCCGGTGGGTCCCCAGCAGACTGTGGTCTAAAGGAACCCCCATCCACCTCTGGCAGCACACGCTGACGTCTCTGTGTCCTCCTTTTCACGGCCAGCACAGCGCACGATGGGCTACACAGCTCCCGGCGGGGTGCTCTTGGTGGTGCTGACGAGCAGCTTCCACATAAAGAACATCCACCATCGCCACGGTGAGAAGCTTCTCTGCAACAGCCCTTCCACATGGCCATCCAGAGCTGGAGCCGCCCAAAGAAAATGCAAAAGATTGCTTTTATTTTTCAGGACAATTTCACTTTTTTATATGTACGCACGTTCTCACAGTGTCAGTCTGCCTTTCTCTTTTCCTTCTGACCGAGTTTTCTTCTGCTTTTTCGCCTGTCTGACCTCAGAGGACGGCTGCACAGCATTTGTGGACGTGACCGCCCTCGCGGTGAGCACGGCGGCAGTGTCAGCCCTTCCGCTCCTCGCCATCTTCCTCTGCTGTAAGTGCCCCTCCTCCGCTTCCCTCTCTACCTCTGGTCTAGCAGCAGTGTGAACTACCACAACTCGGCTTTCTGCTTTAGAGAAGAGCCCACAGCCTCTCTGGTGACCATTTCCCTTCCCCATTTGAGCCCCAGATACTGTCCCCCAAAACGCTGTGCCCCGCAGGCGCTTTGCCCAGTGCCCACGAGCGGACTTGTCTTTTCGCAGATCACACCACACAGGGGTGGCAGAACGAACGTGACTCCAGCTGTGCCGAAAAGGAGAGGTAGAGCCTTCTTTGCCTTTTTCTGTATAAATTCACACCGTCCTGGAGTGAAAAGAGCAAGATATGGAAATTATCCCATGCCTTGTTTTAAGTCCTAGACCCCATGAAAGGTGCAGCCCAGCTCTGCCCTCCCAGCCCCTGATTTTACACAGGATTTGGAGTGGGATGCTCCAATGGGGTCTGTGCTTGAGCACCTGCTCAAATCTCTCCACAGATGCATCACTCATGGCCCCAGCTTGAAGTTTTAAGTCTTAATTCTTTCTGGTTTCATCCACGCCCTTTGGATTTTGGTGGTGCTGTGGGTGCATGGGGGCTTAGCCCTGGGGTAAAGCCCCCAGTGCCCATCCTGCTCATCACAGCCTCAGTCAGCATCTCCGTGCCCCAGCCAAAACCAGCCGGGGTTGGATGAACAAGTGTTAGACCCATGTGTAGGGTCTTGTTGGGTTTTGGGGCCATGCAGGGGTGGGTGAGAAGAGAGGCCCCCACAGCTCACGCCTCTGCCTGGTGTGGGGCAGGTCTGGACTGGTGGACCAGACCTTTGGCTCCACTAATGTTCAGCACGTGGGATTACAGCACGGTTTGGGTTGGAAGGGACACTTAGAGACCATCCCGTCCGTCCTCCTGCCATGGGCACGGACACCTCTCCCTAGATCAGGTTGCTCAAAGCCCCGTCCAACCCAACTTTGAACGCCTCCAATGATGGGGCACCCACAGCTCCTCTGGGCAGCCTGTTCCAGTGCCTCACCACCCTGACTGTGAAAAATTTCTTCCCTGCAGGTCCTCCAGGTCCTTTGAAATGTCCCTGCCCAACATCAAGGATCCTGTTCCCACCTGCTAGACACTGGGGGTGTTTCACACTTGGCTGACTCAACCCAATTTCTCCCCAACATTGAGTTTCAGTAGGTCTGAGTCTCCAATGTACTGGTGATAAACAGCAATTAAATTAATTAATTCTGCCTTTATTTTTATTTTTTATACAATGCAGAACCGGAGGGTCCAAATGCACACTTCCTCTTTTATTTTCCTCTTTAAAACCAGGACATGGGGGAGAGAAGGGTTTTTAAGAGTAGTTGCAAGTGTCTCTCTCAGTAGTTCATTGTTTCAATGCGGATGCAGCCGTGCAGTTACCCACCCCTTCCTTCCACTGTGTGAGGCCACACTCCACTGCTCGCTCCCCGTGTGCGGATGATTTCAACGTGCTTTGGAAGGGGAGGTCAGGCTGCTTTCCCCCACATCCACAGCTCTGTGTCCTCCCTGCCCACCCCTGATGCCCTTTGCAGATGGGACAGCATCTCCAAGGACCATTGTCCCCACCCGCACCAGCACCCACACCTGCAGCGACCTTGGTGTGCTTCTGAAGCTATTTGCCTAAATGCAAATCCCTCTGCTGAATTCACTGGGTGTTGACAGTAGCTGCTCTGTTCTCTTATGGGTTTTTCTGCCCAGGAGGGAAAATATGATGTGTTTCTTTGAGGGGGCATCATGGAGGCCAGGCTTTGGGTGTTGCCGTGCTACAGGGCTGGGGAAGGTAAGGGCTCACTCCATGCAGTCGGCAGGAATCAGGGTCCTCAACCATGCCTTGTTGTTTTTCCTGCTCCTCCCGTCCGGTTATTGTATCAACTAGAGAACCGTATTTCCTTCCTCCAAACACAATCTAACCTGGCACGAGTAAGCAACTGAACATAAGCAATTGAATAGGATAGAGGCATGAGAAAAATACACACTAAAATACACAAAATATGCTGAAATACATGCTGAAATACATGCTCAAATCAAAAGTGGAGGTTGGATTCTCAGCATCATGGGTTCCCCCCTCAGCTCAGAAGTGATGTGGGGCTGGTTTTAGCTGCTAGGAAACAGAAACTACAGTGTGAGATACTCTCAGGTTGAGTCTTCAGATCTCAACACGTTTAAGGAGAGTTAAACTGAGAGGCCGCAGAGGTCACTATGGCCTCAGCCAGTTGCACAAAGCAAGGTAAACTCATGGACCTAGCAAATGTTGAAAGGCCTTTTAGGCCAGACGTCCCTATCCCATCAGGATGCCAGTGCGATATTCAGCTTTTTGCTGGTACATGAGAGCAGCCTCTGCTCTACCAGACTGCCAGCTGCTTCAGGGGTAAGGGTTAATTAATTCACCCACTTTTATGGCTTTCTAAAGTTTGCCTTTCAGTGCCCCCCACCCCCAAGTATTCCCGCAAATGCAGCTGGGCCCTTGCAGTTTCTGCACGTGGGAAACCTCCGGGCTGGCCAAGGGGAGGCAAACGCAAATCAGACAGGTGATGAGGCCTCGCTGCCCTTTGTAAGGGTGATGTACTCCACGTGGAAACCAAGGTAACAAGGTCTGGTTGGACATGGATGGCAGTAGCTTCTCCAGGGGGCATGGGCATTGTGTGCTTATCTCCAGCTTTCTGTCACAGATCCCGGTTGCCCCGGTACCAGTGGGTGTCTGAATTACTTATTCACTCTGTGTTTGCTTAGCTTTGGTTAGCAGTCTTTTGTTTCTCTGCAATTCCATTTCGGTAAGTGTTGGACAATACTGGCCCCAGTATCGACCCCTGGAAGCACTGGTAGTGACCGGCCTCCAGATGGACTTTGTGCTGCTGCTCCTAACCCAGCTGCTCAGCCGGCTTTCCGCCCACCCCACTGCCCCCTTACCAGCCCCTGCTTTGCCAGCTTGTCTGTGAGGATGCTAGGAGAGATGGTGTCCTTAACGCATCTTGCCCAGCGCCATGAGGACAGGCAGAGTGTACCTAGTGAGGTCCCTGGGAACGGGTTGGGCTGGAGATATTTCCTAGAGCCAGAACTTCTCTCCTGGGGCAGGAAGCCAAAGGTCCCGGTCCACGTGGAGTGGGCACGTCGGTCAGAGCGAGCATCTCGGTGCGTGGCAGAGAAGCTGCTGCTTCCCATTGCTTAGCAAGGGGGGAGCCTGGGGGGAGCCGGGGCTGAGCCAAAACCTGCACACGGCAGCTTTCAGGACCTCCTGCCACCATGGAGCTGGCTTTGGGTAACGCTGGTGTATTGGCTTTATGTGCCAAGGTTTGGTATATGGCTGCCAATTGAGTGATGCTGATTCAAAGATCGAAGCCGAAATTTCTAAGTGGCGAAGTATCCTTTGTTGTCAGCGCTGGATGCACGGGGGATCCTTCCACCTAACGTCCGTGTTCGAAGTAACAAACTGTCTCATATTTATACAGCAAAACAATAGATATTCAATTAACACCTATACATATGAATTACCGAAACCCGCCTACTCTCAATTCATATGCTAATTAGCTTATCAGTCCTTGCGCTTACGCAAAGCCTCCCAAGAATTGTGGGCAGGGATCTTTGGGACGTGGGCAGTGGTATTTTGGGAGTTAGACTGTAGGTCTTCCTCATGATGTACTTTTCATCTTTTGCCACAGAATGCCAAGTTGGCTGAATCAGTTGTTTTCCAAGCTGCAGGAATGCCAAGTTGGCTCAAGTTAGCTCAAGTTTCAGCATAACTGAAGGTCGACAGATAACAAGATGTTGAATATTTTGTTCTCATTACATTTTTAACTACAAGATTTATTCTATCCTAAAGTGAGTTTATACAGTATCAATGCTGATTGTGCCTCGGGGAGAACAGACTTCAGAATAGAAAGAAAAAAAAACCACAAAACCTACTGTGAACAACAGCTGAAAACAGCAGCTGAGAAGAGGAAGGAGGAGCACAGACAGAAAAAGCCCTGCAGCCCCCAATGTCAGTGCAGCAGGAGGGCAGGAGGGGCTCCAGGCGCACAGCAGCAGATCCCCTGCAGGCTGTGGAGGGGCCCCTGGTGGAGCAGGCTGTCCCCCTGCAACCCATGGGTCCCACATGGAGCAGATCTCCACGCTGCAGCCCGTGGAGAGGAGCCCACGCAGGACCAGGGGATTTGGGGGAGCTGCTGCCCACGGGGTACCCACGTTGGAGCAGTTTGCTTCTGATGGGTGCACCCTGTGCTATGGACCTGTGTGTGCAAAGCACATCTCGGATCAGTTTGGGCAGAACACGTTTTATTGGAGGAACTCCACGCTGGAGCAGGAGGAGAAAGTGGCTTCGTCCGCAGAGAAATCGTTTTTTCACTATATTTCCCCTCCCAGCACTTCTGAGGAGGGGGAGGAAGATTCAGTGTGCTGAATCCGAGCTGGTGCTAGGACAGCTGTGCTGGGGCTCCGCGGAACCGCAAAGGGGGTTAATTGGTTAATTGCTGGGAGGGTGGAGCAAGGCTGCAGGGAAGGCACAGCCCGCCCCTGCTGCTGCTGCTGCTTTAGGAGAACAACGGGACTGAGGTGAGTACAGGGTTAGGAACGCAAAAAGGGGTTGGGGACAGGGAGATGGGGACAGGGAGATGGGGACTGGGATAAAGCCAGGGGGACGGAGCCATGGGGACAGAGGGACCCCCCTGCTTTCCCCTAGGGCTGCAGCTGCTCTCCCCCACAGGGTACCGGGATCTGCTCCCCAGCTCAGCTTCCCCTCCTATCCAGCCCTTAAATACCAAATAAACACTTACTGCCTGTAAGCGCTCTGTGGAGTTCAGAGCTCATAAACATCCCGTCTGTCCCCACTCAGCCCATTCCTGTGTTTTTCCATGGCTCCAGCATCTTGCAAGGCTTTACACTTAACTCAGAGGTTAACGTAAAAGTTAATTCTCCAGACAACCATTGCTGGGTTTTCCCTACCTCCAGCAACATGGGTAGGACTGTGAGAAGCCTCCTCCCCCCAGCTGTGTTCATCATTGAGCTTAGGGCTGAATTTGCATTAAACGTTCCTGACACATTTTTCCTTTTTGCTCATTCTCAGTTTGTTTTGACCACAACCTGCAGGATGAAAAAGAATTTCCCTGCTAGTTTGTGTTAGCTGCGAAGAACCACGCTCCTCTACAGTTGTGCTGCTACTTTTAGAAGACAAAGCAAGATTTTTCCTTCTGTTTAATTACCGGTGAGTAGCATTTTTTCTGCTTTTCACCAGTTTTGGTAGTCCTTTTTGCTCTGTGAGACAGGGATAGCTGAGCTACACCTCTCTCACAACAGGGATTCGTATTTGCTAACTGGATATTTGACCTGAAGCTGTGGGATGATTTGCATCTTTTTTCATGTTAGGAAAGTCCAATAGATCATTCCAGATAATTCATCTTGCAGTGAGGTTTTTTATATTTGAGCTGTCAACAAGAAGAAATATTTGCCTGTATATATCTGCCCCCTCCTGATATGCGCACCTCAAAGCACCAGCTCGTACCATGTGCTATGGGAAAATAACTGTGGTCCTGAGTGTGAGCTGAATTTGCACACTCCTGCTATTTCTTCCATCATGAGGCCTTTTCCCTCCCTATCTGAGCCCTTGGTGAGGGCTGATAATGACCGACCACGTCTGCTCCTCGCCATCCTCTGTGCTTGCCCTGCACAGCTGCTGCAAAGTGATAACACAAGGGCACACAGCAGTGAGGGGCCCACGAGCAATTCTGGCAAAGCTGGCTGCAGACAATGGGGCTTCTGTCAGCCCCCACAAAATTTTTTTGCTTGTTTTTGAGGCTGAGCTGTGTGCGAGCCACTGCAGCTGGGGGAAAGCAGTTCCTTTTTCTAAAGGCTGTGCTGGCTCCCCAGCCTGCAAAGAAAGACCCTGGGCTGCTGTTGCTCCTCTGGCACAAATAATGTTCCTATTTTTTGGGGTGGCTGCTGGTAGTGTAACCCTGCTCCCCGTAAGGAGCTCTTTTCAACAGCTGACATGCAGCTCACCCCTGCAAGAGGCTTGATAGGCGCTGCTGCTGCATCTCCCAGGGCTGATGGGCCGGAAGCACACGCCTTACAAAATACTCTTTGTGAAACACCAGCACGCTAATGTGCTTCTGCTTCATTTTTTCCTCATGACTGTTTTGTAGAAATGAAAGACAAGGCACAGAAGAGATGCAAGTCATAGTCTTAAGTCTGTCTGTCTTCATGAGCCTGTCCTCCCTTGTCTGTGTTATAGCTAAACTTTTTGAAACATCTGCCCTCATCAAAAGTCTCTGTGTTTGCAACTGCCTCTCATGCCACAAATATCTGTGGGAGGTGTTTGTCTCACTGAGAATCAATGGCCTGTGTGATCACTGTTACACAAAACCACCTGCCTGCCTTATGCAGTCATTTCCTGCCAAGGGCTTCTTCTCTGTTTCCCCAGGTTTCTGAGGAATGAGATTTTATCTGCTGGAGGAGGGATTCATTTTTTAAAAAGCAGCAGCAAAGCACATGAGAGCTGCATTGCATGCCCTTCTTCCAAATTTTCCTTACTCTCCATTACCTGGGGATCCTCAGTGCATCTCCATGAGCACAGGGAGAGCTGGAGGACTCCAGCCCCCAGCAGGAAAATGGGGCATTTCCATGCTGGTTGGGATGTGCCTGGAAAAAGGAAATAATTCATCTATAAACGGTGCCAGCTTTCTGCACAGCCACTGTTCTTACATCCTTAAAATAGTTGCATACACCATAAAACAAATATCTTTCCATTTTCCTGTCAAAAACCACAACAGTTATTGCCCAAACTTTGGAGGCTACCAGAGAGAAACAGCCAAAAAGTGGCTGATTGTGGCACCAGCATGGGGAATCACAGAATCACAGAATCTGTAGGTTGGAAGAGACCTCAAGATCATCGAGTCCAACCTCTAACCTAACACTAACAGTCCCCACTAAACCATTATACCTAAGTTCTACATCTAAACGTCTTTTGAAGACTTCCAGGGATGGTGACTCCACCACTTCCCTGGGCAGCCCGTTCCAGTGCCTAACAACCCTTTCAGTAAAGAAATTCTTCCTAACATCTAACCTAAAACTCCCCTGGAGTAACTTTAGCCCATTCCCCTCGTCCTGTCACCAGGCACATGGGAGAACAGGCCAACCCCCACCTCGCTACAGCCTCCTTTAATGTACTTATACAGAGCAATAAGGTCACCCCTGAGCTCCTCTTCTCTAGGCTGAACAAGCCCAGCTCCCTCAGCCGCTCCTCGTAGGACTTGTTCTCCAGGCCCCTCACCAGCTTCGTCGCCCTTCTTTGGACCCGCTCAAGCACCTCGATGTCCTTCTTGTAGCGAGGGGCCCAAAACTGAACACAGTACTCTAGGTGCGGCCTCACCAGAGCTGAGTACAGGGGGACGATCACCTCCCTAGCCCTGCTGGTCATACGTTTCTGATACAAGCCAGGATGCCGTTGGCCTTCTTGGCCACCTGAGCACCTGCTGGCTCATATTCAGCCGACTGTCCACCATCACTCCCAGGTCCTTCTCTGCCTGGCAGCTCTCCAACCATTTCCTCTCCCAGCCTGTAGCTCTGCTTTGGGGTTATTGCGCCCCAGGTGCAGGACCCGGCACTTGGCCTTGTTGAACTTCATACAGTCGACCTCAGCCCATCGGTGCAGCCTCTCCAGATCCTCCTGCAGAGCCTTCCTACCCTCGAGCAGATCGACACACTCACCTAGCTTGGTGTCATCTGCAAACTTACTGAGGGTGCACTTGATGCCCTCGTCCAGATCATCGATGAAGATCTTAAAGAGGACCGGCCCCAGCACCGAGCCCTGGGGGACGCCACTAGTGACTGGCCTCCAACTGGACTTGACTCCATTTACCACAACTCTTTGGGCCCGGCTATCCAGCCAGTTTCTAACCCAACGAAGCGTGCGCCAGTCCAAGCCAAGAGCAGCCAGTTTCTTGAGGAGAATGCTGTGGGAGACGGTGTCAAAAGCCTTGCTGAAGTCAAGGTAGACCACATCCACAGCCTTTCCCTCGTCCACCAGCGCGTCACTGTCGTAGAAGGAGATCAGGTTCGTCAAGCAGGATCTGCCTTCCATAAACCCATGCTGACTGGGCCTGATCGCCTGCTTGCCCTTCAAGTGCCGCATGATGACTCCCAAGAGGATCTGCTCCATGAGCTTCCCTGGCACTGAGGTCAAACTGACCGGCTGTAGTTCCCCGGGTCTGCCCTCCGGCCCTTCTTGTAGATGGGCGTCACGTTTGCTAGCCGCCAGTCAGCTGGACCTCCCCCGATAGCCAGGACTGCTGATAAATGATGGATAGGGGCTTGGCCAGCTCCTCTGCCAGTTCTCTCAGTACCCTCGGGTGGATCCCATCCAGCCCCATCGACTTGTGCACATCCAAGTGCCGTAGCAGGTCACCAACCAGTTCTTCGTGGATGGTGAGGGCCACATCCTGCTCCCCGTCCCCTTCCACCAGTTCTGGGTACTGGGTATCCAGAGAACAACCGGTATTGCTGCTAAAGACTGAGGCAAAGAAGGCATTGAGCACCTCCGCCTTTTCCTCATCTCTTGTAACTAAGTTTCCCCCCGCATCCAGTAAAGGATGGAGATTCTCCCTAGTCCTCCTTTTTGTGTTGATGTATTTATAAAAGCGTTTTTTGTTATCTTTAACAGCAGCAGCCAGATTGAGCTCCAGATGTGCTTTGGCCTTCTAATCTTGTCCCTGCACAGCCTCGCTACATCCTTATAGTCCTCCCTAGTGGCCTGCCCACTTTTCCAAAGATTATAAACCCTTTTTTTCTCCTAAGCTCAAGCCACAATTCTTTGTTGAGCCAGGCTGGTCTTCTTCCCGCTGGCTCATCTTTGGGCACATGGGAATAGACCGCTCCTGTGCCATTAGGATTTGCCTCTTAAGGAGCGCCCAGCCTTTCTGGACCCCTCTGCCCTTCAGAACCGCCTCCCATGGGACTCCACCAACTAGTGTCCTGAGCAGCCCAAAGAGCCCTCCTAAAGTCCAGTACAGTGGTTTTACTGGTTCCCTTCCTGGCCTCGCCAAGAATAGTGAACTCCACCATTTCGTGGTCACTCTGCCCAAGACTGCTCAAGCACTCAGGACTCACCAGCATGGGGAAGAAGCAGGAGGAGTTAGGAATCCGTGTTTTGTCAGGAGATTATGACCTGGTGGCCATTCCACAGACATGGTGGGACAGCTCACAGGGCTGGGCTGTGGCCGAGGACTGGTGTGTCCTGCTGAGGAAAGGCAGGCCAGCAAGGCGAGGTGGAGGAGTTGCTCTTTATGTGAGAGAGCAGCTACGTTGTATTGAGTTCTGCCCAGGGGAGGATGAGGAGAGAGCTGAGAGTCTGTGGGAGAGAATTAAGGGGCAGGCTGGTGTGGGGATAGTGTTTGGGTGTCTGTTACAGGTCACCAGACCAGGATGAGGAAGCTGACGAGGCCTCCTACTGATAGCAGCCTCACGATCACAGGCCCTGCTTATCGTGGGGGAATTCAGCTACCCTGACATTTACTGGAAGGCCTCAGCCAGCACCCACAGTCCCGAGGTTCCTCCTGTTACAAATGAAGTTTCAACCCAATCTGAATTTAGTAATATTTATAAAAGGCAAGTAAACTGCGCTGAGTGCGCGGGGAGTCTATGCTCTACCAGCACGTACACACTAACATCGAACTTTCTAAATATACAGAACACTGCTTTTACATATTAACCCCAGTATGCCTATAGATATGAATCATAACATGGCAAAGTTTTAAAAAGCAAGTGTTTCACAAACAATCCTTGAAGGCATCACTATTAATGTCCATGACTGGGGGAGCAGAGTTGGAGTTGCTAATCCTGGTTGGAGTGCTCCCATATCTTCCATCACTTCATTAATTTTCCTCAGATCATTAACAGTCTCCATTTTCCATTCCTTTTCTTGATTACAAACACCGGATAATTCCAGAGTTAGTCATGGGAACAACACATCTCGCTTTAAGTTGTTAAGCAACTCGGCCTTTGGGCCTTATGTATCTTGTTCCTCCTGGATTGAAGGGAAACATTTCCATCTCCTTTTCAAGGCCAATAGGGCCTGGCTCAAAAGGCACGTCCAGGTCACCAGGGGACATACCAGCAAAGGCCTGTGATGGCAGTAGCGGTGGGGGGGTGATGGTGTAGCAGAAGGATCGGTGGATGAGCCCGCAGCTCCCTCACTGTCTGGCAAACCCACGTTTCTGAATGTGGTCCCACACGGCTCTTTAAGGCCTCAGAGACTGCTCACCAGGTGCCGGCAATCCCACCGCAACCTGTCGTTTTTAGTTGCAGAGTCCCACACCTTGACCTCAGTTTGGTCCCATGTTTCAGGCTCATAACCTGTTGATTGTTAATAAGGAGAATAAGCTGTAAGGTTACCAGGACAGTCTTTGTTTCCAAGGACGTATGATTCCCCATAATGAGCAGCTCTTACCAGCGAGGGGCAGCTGTGTGCACGGGTCCGCTTCTCTCAGCTTGAGCTTCTTCCCAGCTCCAATGCACCATTTCCAGCGACTTTCTGTACGAGCTTCTCTGAGTGGTTTTGCTGAGTTTGGCCGAACCTCTCTTCATGAGGCAATCAATGTGCCTGGTCTCTGTTCTGCTAGTCTGTCCCTATTCATTCCTTCTTTCTACTTCTTATTGATGACATAACTTCATCACATCGTTTTGCCTTTTTATCCTGAAGGCAGGCTCCCCTCTTATACCCTTTGCCCCAGTTGTTTCTTTCAAAACAACATTTCATAGGTCAAAGAACTTTGCGTAGAACAGCAACAGCAAACACCCAGCAACATCCATGCCTTAATGGCTGGAGAACAAGCAACCCGAGACTGCATGGTGTCTCCTGAATCACCCTTCTTTGATCCCTCTAAACTCTTTTACATTCCTGATGGCTTCATCGTTAACAGTCTGATATTATCATTAACCATGAGGTTTGCCGACTCTTGCAGGAAGAACGGCCAAAAACATCACAGATGCTAGTATGGTCAGATCATGCTGCCCTATATTATCAGAATAGCCTGAGTTTTGTAGTAAACTTAACAGGGGCGGATAGTGCCTACACAAGATTATCGGTCAAAAAGCACTCAGACAACAACTGCAAGAAAACAACCCCACCTGCAAGAAAACAACCCTCATAGAATTAGCAGTCACGTACATCCCATCCTTGACGCCAGCTGCTGGCAACAATATTTCTAAATTCCTCAATTGGGCAATGTGGGAACTTCTCATAGTCATCCTGGTAGCTTGGTTTGCTCAGCTGCACCAAGCCATGGGATCTTGCTGTTTCAAAATCCCTCAACAGCCCACCCCCATGGCCATGCTCCCACATCTCCCCCTTCTTATTAACATCATCCATTTTCTTGACATGAATTATCACTCCATATATCACACTCCAGTGCACTGATGATAACTTCCTGATGTAAATGGTGGACGTGGCCAACTAGGAGAGGAGCACTGCTGGGTCTTGTCCTCACCGGCAAGGAGGGGCTGGTTGAAGTGGTGAAGGCTGGGGGCAGCCTTGGCTGCAGCGACCCTGAGATGGTGGAGTTCGGGATCTCATGTGGCATGAAGAGAATATTGAGCAGAATCGTGTCCCTGCACTTCAGTAGGGCCAACTTTGGCCTTTTCAAGCAATTGCTAGGGGAAGTCCCATGGGACAGGGTTATTTGAAGGAAAAGGAGCCCAAGAGAGTTGGTTAGCGTTCAGGGAGTGCTTGTTCCAAGCTCAAGATCAGAGCATCCCAACAGGTGGAAGTCAGGAAAGAGAGCCAGGAGACCTGCATGGCTAAACAGGGAAGTGCTGGGCAAACTCCAGTGGAAGAGGAGAGGTCATGGAAGGAGGGCTGGCCACTTGGGAGGAATATAAGGCTGTTGTCAGAGGATGTAGGGAGGCAACCAGGAAAGCTCCGGCCTCCCTGGAATTACACCTGGCGAGAGGGGTCAAGGACAACAGAAAGGGCTTCTTCAAATTCATTGTGGATAAAACTAACACTAGAGGCAATTTAGGCCCACTGCCTGAATGAGGTGGGTGCCCTGGTGACAGGAGATGAAGAAGAGAAGGCAGAGACACAAAACTGGGAGGAGTGGCTGACAGGCCGGAAGGCCGTGCTGCCATCCAGATAGACCTGGCAGGGAGAAATTCAATGAAATATGAGGGCAAGGTCCTGCACCTCTGAAACCTCCTTTCTCCAAATCCTTTTAGCAGGCAGAAGCCAGGCCATCAGCTCCATCACAGGGGTGAACACAATGTGCCTGGCCTGTTTCCTCTTGCCTTGGGTTTTGGCTGCTCTTGGGGTGCGGATGCTGGGCTGGGCACCTGCTTGGAGTGATCCAGAAGCAGCTTCATGGTTTTGAAAAGGCTTTTTTCTTCTTTTCCTTCAGATGCTGCTCTGATGTTTGCAGGGGTCCATGGAAGCCAGCTGGATGCTGCCAGGAGGTAATGTCTCTCTGGAGTGGGGCCCATCCTCCAGCACAGGTTCTTGTCCTGCTGAGAAGCTCCTTTCCCACCAGCCCTCAGGCTGTCTCTAAAACCGACCATGTCTCTAAAACAGACACTCCTGAATCTTTGTATCACTGCTGAGACTCTCATTATAGAAGAGTGTCCGAGATGTGACTCTAATTACAGGACGTTATATTTTGTTCCTTTGACAAAAATATCAGCTCCTCCCCCATCATCTTTGCTCCAGTGCTTTGCAATACAGTAGGAAAAAAAAATATTAAAAAAAAGAGCAGTAAATTTGGTCTCTGTCATCCAAAAGCCAATGATTGTATCTGAGCTCTGCAAGTCAGCCTCGAGCAGTGTTGCACCCCACTGCAAACTGTGTTAGGTGCAGACAGTTTGTTCTTGTGATCTGTTGCACAAAGGGAACGGGATGTGATTGGGGTTTTCCAAGTCCCCACGATGACGGATATGGCAGGTGCAGAGCCTGCAGCCACACACAAGCTCAGGAGCTAAATCTTCCCGAGGAAGTGAGGGAGGGAGCTCAACCAGAGAGGTGTTTCTGTACAGACAGGGCATGGCCGTCACGGGCAGCGGCTCTACAAATGGTGTGTTGAAGGGACGAGGCAGAGCTGCAGCACTGCCAAGCTGCAGTGAAGGGAGGGCTGCAGAAGGCACCAGCACTGCTGCCTGTGTTGCCATGGGCTGGCAGCGCGTGGGAAGTGTTGATGGTGCTGAGGGTGCTTTTCACGGTGTCGTTCCCAGGCTGGTCCATCGCTGCTAGTGACCCTGCTGAGAGCGTTGCTGCAGAAGGAGCTCAACCCTCGTGGTGGTTTGAAAGCCCCTGTGGCTCTTTGCCATGTCCTTCGCAGGCTGTGAGTGTGAGAGGGGACTTGTCCTTGGGCTGGGTACCACCGCGCAGCCCTCCTGCTGCAGCAGACCTGGGAGAGGTGGAGAGCGGGCACCTGCAGCATTTCCACGCTCGCTTGCACCTCTGTGCTGCAGAAGGGCTGGTCGAGGCGTGAGCGTCCTGGCAGGTGCCTCCCAGTGCTGCAGCCTGGGTCCCACCAGGTTCGGGTGCTGAGGGAACTGGGTGAGGTCCAGGGGTGAAGCCACGCTGAACGTGGTCCCACTGAGCAGCTCCTGACATGCAGAAGCCCCGAAGGAGCCTGATTCGTGTTGTTTTCATTCCAAAAAGCAAGGAAATACTTGAACCAGTTATGAACCATTTTTACAACGTGCCCATAATGTTATGATTTTTTTCTTAAAAAGAAAAAAGGGAGGACGGAAATCAGACGTGCACAATGGGTTTCAAGAAGTCAGTTGGGGCCTTTCCAAGAAGAGCATAAGAGCAGCTTAATTTGTCCTTTGGCTTTTGCTTAGAAGTAACCCACCCTGCTCTGGCTTCTCTCCTGTTTCCAGACCTGCTGCTGCTTTTGCAGGTGTCCTGTCTTGCAGCAGAAATGATAGAGCTCTGGGCAGAGGAAGGATCCTCTGTCACGATGCACGCACCGGCTATCAAGAATGTGAACTGGACCAACTGGGAATACATAAGAGATGACACCTCCAAATTAATCCTGCAGTACTACGCAGAGTCGCAGTCAGTAACCATTTACCCAGCTTACGAAGGCAGAGTGGTTTTCTACAAAAACAACGGCTCCCTTGTCCTGCAGAAGCTGCGAGAGACGGACAGTGGCATCTATAGAGCAACAGTTAACTTGATGCAGGACAAAGCAGCAACAACCACTCTTAGAGTGATCGGTAAGTCAAAATTGTTTGAAAGGATGTTTTTCTCTGACCATCAGTAGGATTTGCCATCAGTAGGGTGCACAGGTATGCCTCCCCCTAAGTGGACTAGAGGAGTACTTTCTGGTTTCATTACTGCCTTTAACGACATGGACTGGAGACCCCAGAAGAATTGCTGGGAAGTGTTATAGCGTATTCTGAGACTGAATCTGGCTGTGGGTTGAGCTATGGGTCAGGAATCGTGGCTGCTCAGTGCCTCCATCCCAGAGAGATGGAGATGTGGGGCACCTTCTGCCCTAACATGTACCTCCTTGCTTCACCACGAGCAGCTGCTCACAGGAGGTGAATGTCATAAAATGCCCTCCAGAGACAGGATTTCTCACCAGGCTTTGCAGCCTCTCCCTTCACACCAGCATTGCCTTCCCCCTGCCTCTGCACTTCCCTGCAGGACAAACAGGAACGAGAGCTCACCCAGGTTTGCATTGCCCTTTCCTAGAGCTCAGCAGCACTGCGGGAGCACCCTGCATGTAGGACATCCAGGGAAGGAAGACTTCAGGGGCATGTGTTTGCTACCAGGTGGAGGTCCAGATGTACCTAAGAGCAACCCCAAATGGTGCAGGCACCCAGGTGCTAGCTGAGGCATGGACTCTGACATCCTTTTGTTGTGGCATGGCTCTTCAGCATTGCTCCTCTGGGCTTTGGTCCATCTGGGGTTTGACCAGTGTAAATGCAGGCAACAGTGGAGTCCTACTTTAGATCCCATGAACCACAGAATCACAGAATGGTTTGGGTTGGAAGGGACCTTACAGCCCACCCCTTTCCAACCCCTTGCCATGGGCAGTGATACCTCTCACTAGCCCAAGCTGCCCCCAGCCCCATCTGAGCTGGCCTTGGGCACCTCCAGGGATGGGGCACCCATAGCTTGTCCTGACAGCCTGTGCCAGTGCCTCACTACCCTCGTTATAAAGATTTTTTTCCTTGTATCTAATCTAAACCTACCCTTTTTTAGTTTAAAGCCCTTACCCCTTGTCCCATCACTCCACTCCCTGGCAAAGAGTCCCTCCCCAGCTTTCCTGTAGCCCCCTTTAGGTACTGGAAGGTTGGTAAAAGGTCCCCCCAGAGCCTTCTCTTCTCCCAGCTGAACACCTCCAACTCTCTCAGCCTGTTTCCATAGCAGAGGTGCTCCAGCCCCCTGATCATCTCTGTTGTGGCCCTCCTCTGGACTCTTCTGATACATCCATGTCCTTGTGCCAGAGCACCCCTCCACCCCACTTCTGTGCGGGGGCAGCTTTCTCCTCTTGGAAGTGTCCATAAAGTCCCCGTCATCACTTCCCAGCATAATCCCAAGGTGCAGCTCTGTTGGGTCGGTGTCCGTGGCCCCAGGGTGCCATGCCTGAGCTCCAGGGGCTGGTGCTGCCCACCCCAGGGGAGGTGCCGTGGCTTAAGGGCAGCGGCTGGGACATCGGCTCTGAGCTTGGTGGATGTTGCCCTGCTCCTGCACTGTCTTCTCCCCTGCCAGACACAACTGAGGCACTGAGCTGAGGTGCGAATGAGAAGGGGAGGTGCTGCTCACCCTGCATGGGGCTTGCTGTTCTGGCATCTTATGCGGGGCAGGTTTAAGGTGGGAGGAGAGGCAATCCCAGGCAGTGCTGCCATGTCGCTCTCTGCTTTCCAGAGCCCTTGCCCCAGCCCAAGCTCCTGAGCAGCTCAAACCTGGATGGTTCACTCATCAACCTGACCTGCGTGCTGCCAGAAGGAATGGTGGCTGATGTCTCCTGGAAGAAGGATGGACATCCCCTTCCCCCCGAAAAGTGCTTCCAGCTCACTGGGAAGACCGCTGTGCTGCAGATAAGGAAGGCAGAGAAGTCGGATTGTGGCTCCTACTCCTGCATAATCAATAACTCCATAAGCTGGAGGGAGGCAGCCCTCAACCTGACCGTGACAGGTTAGCATTGCCCTGCCGGGGTGGGTCCGGTGGTTTGCCACCTTGTCACAGCAGCCCTGAGCCCACAGGTACCTGGACGAGACCCCCAGCAGCTCTGCTGTGGTCCTGGGGCTGGCAGATGGATTGTTCGTTGGCTGTTGTCTCACTTGGACCTGCAGCCTTTGTGCATTTAGGTGCCAGCTCAAGCCCGCTCTGTCTTCTCATCTCTAGCAGGTCTGGGCACCAGCACTTTGTCTCTGAGACCCTCACAGGTTTCAGCTGCCTCTCGTGGGATCTGCCATGCAAGGAAACCCAGTAATCCTCTAGGGTTTCGAGCTTGTTGCAGACTCCTGGGATAGCTGCTCCATGTTGTGGGGTTGTCCTCCATGCAGGTCTTACACCTCCTGCCCGTGATGCACAGATGATGACCGCTGCTGCGCTGGTGCTCACTGCCATCTCTGCCGTCCTCTTCATTATCCGGCTCTGTCAGCTGGGGAAGCTCAGACTCGGTGAGTGCCCACGCCTGAGCTCCTCTCTCCATGCCGTGGAGAGGGCAGAGGGCGAGGCAAGCCCCTTCTCTCCTAACTCACCGCGGTAGTTGGAGGGAGCTTTCTCGATGGTCGTGGAGTTCATGCACTTCTTATGCTTCTGCGGCTTGAACAGAAAAGAAAATTTCCTAGCAGCAGTAATCCCAAATGGCTTTGGGAGAAATTGGGCCACCCGCAGGTATCATGGTATGAGGCATAGGAGTTGTTCCTCTCTGTCCTCAGGAGTCCCTGGGGAGAAATAGAAAGGGCAGGACACAAAGAGCTTCCTGCGTGGAGGTGCTGAGAGCTGACCAAGGGCCACGTGGCATTGGGTTTGGTGACCAAGGACACTGGTGTTTGGGTCAGGATGGTGCAAATGGCTGTGCACCCATACCCAAGCTTATGGGTTAACGTGGGTGCTTCTGTAGCAACATGATGGTCAGCAGAAAAGAGACCCATAAGACCTAGCCAACAGCAAGTCCTCCCACACAGTCTTGGTAGCCTTCTCACATGCTCTTCTACCCACCAAGAAACATGCTCTTCTCACATGCTCTTCTACCCAGAGCAACGGAAACCATGTGGAGAACAGGGGTGAAACCCGATAGCAGGTAGGAAGGTTCTCTCGCATGGATTTCTCTCCCACTACTAGCACTGGAAACATGCAACACCGGGTCTTGCCTTTGGGGTAGTCTCTCCTGAGGAGCTCTACATGCCTGATGCTTGTGGCAAGAGCTTGTGCCATCCAGGCTCTTCTCAAAAGGTAGTCTCCAGAAGAAATCCAGTGCTTGTCAGGTGGGCAGAATTGTATTAAGGTGTCAAACTAGATGAAATTAGTGTCTTGGTCAGCTCTGAGCAAGTCCAGATCTGGCTGGCATCTCATGGTTCCTCCTCAAGTCAAACAAAGCCCTTTAGAAGCCTACCAAAAGCCTTTGAAGTCCACCAGGGTTTGTCTTTGAGGTTTCTAAATCTCGGGAATTTGATTCTTTACAAGGGAAAAATGTGCTTGGTATTCACCTTCCCTTCCCAGGCTGCACCCTGGATCCCTTGGTGAGGTTCCGAGCCCTAACTCAAATGTATTTGCCTTTTTCCCAGGAAAGGAAGCGTGGGAATGGTTAATGATGTCCTTACTGGGGCTGCTGTGCACCTCTTCTCTCCTCCTGTTGGCTGCCTCTGTCATCTGGATGCAGGAAGACGGTAGGATTCATTTAAACTGAGTTGTTCTTCATTTCTCCCGTGTCTTATCTTTTACGACACCAAAGACCTCCAGGTCTCTCCAGCAGCATCCTTGTCTGATGCAGTGCTGTTGGGTTTGGAGACTCAATGTCAGGGTTCCCTGATCTGTAGCATCTGCCTCGGCCAGGAGAAGCTTTCCCATCTCACCTCCTTGTTTAATTCTGCTCCCCACAGGTCATTCTGCTGCCTTCATCCTGCTCGGGCTTTTCCTCTCAGCTGGGATCGTGGCCATGGCACTGACGGTGGTGGCGATGTCGCCGTGCAGACCAGCAGTGCTCACACACTTCAGGTCCAAAGGCTGTGAGTTGCTGTCGGTGGCCTAAACCTCCGATGTAAAAGGCCTTTGAGAGCCTGGGAACAAACTCCCCGTGCCGGCCTGCCCTCCTCTCCCATTTCTCTCCCATCCACCAGAACTTCTCCCCTCTCCCAGGGCACCGTGTCATCCTGTGCATTACAGCCACGATGCTGGTAGTCAACCTGCTGTTCAGCACCCTCTTGCTCCACAACTTCCATCAGCTCCACGGTAATGGGCGGCCGGGTTGGCACCGCGTGTGCCCTTGGTCGCCTTCCTTCTGGGGAGAGGTGGGGTGTTCGGGGTGGGACTGGCCTCACCCAGGGAAGAGAAAGTCCTTGGGAGGCTTTGTAGGCTGTAGGTGATGCAGTCATGGCAAGCCTTGTGCTTAGCTGGGAGGTCACAGCAGGGCACGGTTGCCTCTGGAGCTCCAGAGCGTGAAACACCAGGATGCTCTGAATGACCTTCATGTTCTGTAGATGTTCAAGGGGGGCAGGAGAGCAACCACTGACAAGTTCTCACTGTCTCCTTGGCAGAGCGGGGCTGCTCAGAGGCTGTCAATCTGACCATTGGCTTCGTCATTCCTGCTGTAGCAGTCTTCCCCACGCTGCTGCTCCTCTTCCTGTGCTGTAAGTAGCCCAGAGGTTTCCTTTTGGCTCTCTACGAGATGGATGTGGAGGTGCTCGAGCGAGTCCAGAGAAGGGCGATGAAGCTGGTGAGGGGTTTAGAGAACAAGTCCTATGAGGAGCGGCTGAGGGAGCTGGGCTTGTTCAGCTTTGAGAAAAGGAGGCTCGGGGCGACCTTATCACTCTCTACAGGTACCTTAAAGGAGGCTGTAGCGAGGTGGGGTTAGTCTGTTCTCCCACGTGCCTGGTGACAGGACGAGGGGGAATGGGTTAAAGTTGCGCCAGGGGTGTTTTAGGTTGGACATTAGGAAGAACTTCTTTACTGAGAGGGTTTTGAGGTACTGGAATGGGCTGCCCAGGGAAGTGGTGGAGTCACCATCCCTGGAGGTCTTTAAATGTTGAACTTTGCGATATGGTTTAGTGGAGGATGTGTTAGTGTTAGGTCAGAGGTTGGACTCGATGATCTTGAGGTCTCTTCCAACCTAGAAATTCTGTGATTCTGTGATTCCAGCCACACCGAGTAGCTGCTCCGTCACTGAGACCCTGCTCTCAGCTCCCACCCCCTGGCAGCAGGTCTTGAGACAAGAGGCAAATTGCCTCCACTTCACCCAGGAGTGCTCAAGGAGGTGTTCATGAAAAGCGAGTTTCTCCTACCAAATGTGGAGGATGCTCTTCTGCTCTCCTCCTGACCCAGGAGATGTGGGCTGGTGCCCAGCTGGCCACTAACCTGAGCAGTAGTGAACCCACAGTGTGGCTCACAGGCTCCATGATGTGTTGAAGAGAGGGTGGGAAGGGGACCCCTGCTTTGCCAGTGTGTGCAGAACATTTGGGAATTAGAAATACAAGAAATATTGCACTAACCTACCAAAGGCTCGTGGCTTAGAGGTGCAGGGGCTTGCAGGCAAGGTGGGTGTCCATCTCTGTGCTGCCTTCTGGCTCTCCATCCAAAACAGAGATCTGGTTTTGGAAAGGGAAGGGTTTAGCCACAGGAAAGCCTCCAAAACCCATTCTTCCCTGCAGTCGCATTTTCACATGTCCCCATGAAGCTCAGGGTGGTGTTGGAAAGCAAGGAGCTGATGTCCTCTCCTTCGTTTTCAGCTTACAAGAAAAATCAGGAGAAGCAGCAGCAGCCGGACCCCCAGGAGGTCACCCGCAGCTTACAGACCAAGTCTACTCAGTGACTTCCAGCAAACATCAGCTGTCTCCTTCTCCAGTTGCTGCAGATACTTGTAATGGTACGATGAATATTTAATACTCACTGGGAAGCATCCATCTGCCTTCCTGCAGAACGGCACAGGTGGATTTGTCACCATCTGGGGGATGACATCAGAAGAACCAGTCATTGGAAAAGCTGTTACATTCCTCCTAGGCCAGTCCAGAAACTGAACTAGTGCCAAAGTGGATACTGGATGTTTTTGAGTCTTAAGGATTCTTTGTAATGCATTTAGGTTTGATTGCTGCTCTTTTGTAAGGGAGCTTCCCGTATTCCCGACCTGCTCATCTCCTGTCCTGCAGATCACTGATGGTGCTTGAGAGCCTTTCCTTTTCCTCCAGCTATGGTTGGGTTGGGCATTAACACTGGAATGGGCTGCTACAGCCTCACTTGTGCCCCACGTTGGGTGCCATTTGTGGTGACCGAGTGCACGGACTCTTCGTGTGATCAAGTCTCTATTGCAACCTGGCAATGCTCCTTTTACACACTTCCCTTCCAGAGGTTTTCCTTCCACAAATCCTCCAGCCCCGTTTACAGTCCTATGATCCTTGTATTTCTCAGGCTGGTAGGTACCTTACTGCAACCTCCTGTTCCCATGCTGGGTTTTGGTCACACTTTGTTACTTTCCTCTTTCCTGGGCCTCGTGGCAGTCCTTGCTCTCACCTCCTCTTGTTATTCCCGTATGCCTCAGACTCTGTGGTGACTCGCATCCCCCACATTTCTCTTGTCTTCAGAACTCCCTTTCTGGATTTTCACGAGTCTTATCCACATTTCTAACTAAACCTACTTTTCCTACATTTCCCACAATTTATTCGTATACAGTGCTAGTTAAACCTACATTTTCTGCATAGAATCATAGAACCATAGAATATCCCGAGTTGGAAGGGACCCATGAGGATCATCAAGTCCAACTCCTGGCACGGCACAGGTCTACCCAAAAGTTTAGACCATGTGCCTAAGTCCAATCTCTTCTTAAATTCAGACAGGCTTGGTGCAGTGACTGCTTCCCTGGGGAGCCTGTTCCAGTGCGGAACCACCCTCTCAGTGAAGAACCTCTTCCTGATGGCCAGCCTAAACTTCCCCTAAGGAGACTGTAGCAAGGTGAGGGTTGATCTGTTCTCCCACGTGCGTTGTGACAGGATGAGGGGGAATGGGCTAAAGTTGCACCAGGGGAGTTTTAGGTTGGGTATTAGGAAGAACTTCTTTACTGAGAGGGTTTTGAGGCATTGGGATGGGCTGCCCAGGGAAGTGGTGGAGTCACCATCTCTGGAGGTCTTTAAAAGATGTTTAGATGTTGAACTTAGTGATATGGTTTAGTGGAGGCCTGGTTAGTGTTAGGTCAGAAGTTGGACACGATGATCTTGACGTCTCTTCCAACCTAGACAATTCTGTGATTCTGACTGTGCGACCACTCTCTCGGTGAAGAACCTCACCGTGATGTCCAGCCTAAACGTCCCTTATCTCAGCTTAACACTGTTCCTGTGGGTCCTATCACTGGTGTTTACACAGAACAGGTCACCTGCCTCTCCACTCCCCCTCACGAGGAAGCTGTAGACTGTGTTGAGGTCCCCCCTCAGCCTCCTCTTCTCCAGGCTGACCAGGCCCAGTGCCCTCAGCCCGTCTTCCCCCTCTAGGCCCTTCACCATCTTCATCGCCCTCCTCTGGACACCCTCCAACAGTTTCGTGTCCTTGTGCTGTGGTGCCCAGAACTGCTCACAGCACTGGAGGTGAGGCCGCACAGCGCAGGGCAGGCGGCAGGAAGTTCCTTCCCTCGACCGACTAGCGATGCCGTGCTTGGGTGCCCCCAGGGTACGGCTGGCAATATGTGATTACAGATCCCACATTGGTCTACCTTTTGGCAGGTGCCCTTTCCTGGTATTATCCATTATTGTGGTTGGCAAGCTCTCCTTTTCTCTTTTATATATTTATATATATATATATATATATTCATATATATATTTATATAAATGTTGAGTGATTTTTGGAACAGCAAGGAGGCCATGACTTGTTTCAGCTGATCAAACCAAGGTACGAGGGTGACTACGAGGAGTTCCCATGATGGTGTTCCCATACCGCCCGACTGAGGAATTAAAAATATTGTTGCCAGCAGCTGGTTTTAAGGTCAAGATCTATGTGGCTGCTAATCACAAGGGGGTTGTTTTCTTGCAGTTGTTTGTCTGAGTGCTTTTTGACCGATAATCATGTGCGAGACACTATTTGCCCCTGTTAAGTTTGCTATAAGAATCAGGCTGTTCGGGTAATAGAGGGGAGCATGATCTGACCATACTGATGTCTGTCATGTTTTTGGCCGTTCTTCCTGCAATATATATCTTTATATTTATATTTATATATATACCCTGATTTTTTATATATATTTAAAAGAACCAGTGACGTAGCCTGTGCTGATTTCCCTTGCACAGGCTCTTAACTGACCTTGTGGTCGCACCACAGCTGTCAGTGGTTTCCATCCTTTGTGGGCTGTAGACTTTTGGGTTGAGCTGAGCGTCCTTTGCTGTCCCCCCTGGTATCAGATGAGAAATGTGTTCATACAAGAAAATAAAATAAATAAATAAATAAAAAACCTACCTTCGGTCACCTTTTACTTCGCTTTGCTAGAACCGCTGCAATAGAAGGATTCCATTTGGATCCTCTGCTGGTGTCCCCGCTGGGTCTCCTCAAGCACAGGATAGCTCAGTGCTATCTGGGCCCCAGCTCTGGGCCAGATCCTGCCTTGGCCAGCTCTGGACCAGGTTTCTCGAGGGGTGCGGGCCAGGGCAGACTGCTTTACAGACCCAACTAAAGCTGAGCAGTGCCCTGGGTTGCAACAAATCCCGGAGGGGATTTAAAGGTATTAAACAAGATAGGCCCCGGTACTGACCCCTGGCGGACAAGACTTGTGACGGGACACCAGCAGATCCTCAGAAGCTCTGCTGGAAGCCAAATACAGAAGTCTTTCATACAAAAACCTCATCGACCTAGTCGATCTTGCTCTCATGCCCTCCTCTATGCCGATTAATAGCAGCAATGCATTGCAAATGAGACAACTGGCCAAACTCCTCAGAAGAGTCCATAAGCCTGGCTCTTAGGTCTTTATTTTTTTTTCTTTTTTTTTTTTTTTTTTTTTTTCCTTATTGACTTGTTAAGTTGATAAGACCCTCTGTTGCAGGGACGTCCACCATCTGGACATCCAGCTAGGGCCTGAAGGCAGAGCTGGGTTCTGGGGGTGCAAGTGTGACCAGATGGATGCACTCTTTAAGCAAGGTGCCAGGTTGCAAGAGGAGCTCGGCAGGCTGCAATGCATCCAGGAATCCAAGCAACAGATCAATGTGTGGTACCATGCCCTGCCGCCGGCTGAGCAGCCCTGCCTTAAGTCCTGGCAAGAGTGAGGCGTCTCCCCCTTGCCCCTGAGGTGCCCCTGTGCAACAGATAGGATGCTCTGGGGCTCACAAAAGAAGAAGGTGCCAACAACAGCAATGGTAATGCTCAAGCCCAGGCAGGGCAACCGAGCGTGCAGCTGGCAGAAGGTGGAGTGGGGGCTCCGGGGCTCACCCCCCCCCCTCCAGAAGGTGTGGAGCAGAACACGGCCTTGGTTCGTGCAGATAAATAACGGTCTGTAAGACAGATCTCTAAGGCACACGACATTATATCCAGCCTGGGCTGCTTTTGCAGCCGCAGAGCTCCTGGGCGCCCTGAGCCTGCTGCACCCACAGCCCCCGGCCTCGCGGTGCGAGCCGTGCCCAGTGTCCTGGTGCCCCGTGCCGAGCCCAGCCGCGTGTCGGGGCCTGAGTGACGGCGACAGGAGGCGGTGGCACCCGGTGCCGGTCCCGGTCCCAGCCCTGCCGCAGGCCGCGCTGCGCCCCAGGTCTGCCATGCTCGCCCTTCCCCTCCTCGTCCTCCTGGCCTCCGCCGGGACAGGCCCAGCGGCCGGCCTGGCTGTCATAGGCAAGTCCTGGGGCTGGGGCGGTGGTGGTGGTGCTGGGCAGGGTGGTGCAGGCTCCCCCTCCACCAGGCTCCTTCTCCCGGCTGCTTTTCCCACCCCAAAGCCCCTGCTGCGTGCTCGCAGCCTCGATAACAACGAGGTTGGGAGGGGGCTGCCCTGGCTCCGACCATGGCTCCCTGGGGCTCCTTCACTTCCAAGCCCCCCCCATAGAGCAGGGCCGGGAGCAGGCGGCTCTCGCAGCCGTACCCGCCGTGGAAACTCCTCAGGCAGAAGCCGGCTGCGAAGCGAAGCAGCGCAGGCTTTCAGGGAGATGAAGGCAGCGCCTCCGCAGCCTCCTGCTTCTCCGTGGTGCTGCTTAAGCCCCACCCGAGCCCCCCCGAAATAATCCCGTCCCCAGCACCGCCGCTTGCGCAGGAGCCGAGCCAGGGCGGCTCTCCCTGCCCAGCTGCCTGCTGGATGCCGGTGCGTCCCGCTAGCCCCGCGCCGCGTTCCTCCCTTGCAGCCCGCACGCTCTTCCCGTGCTACTCTGCCGACCTCAAGCCGGTGTCCGAGGTCCTGGTCTCGGCCAGGGGCTGCACTGTGCTCTTCAGCGTCGAGCCGAGGGCAGCCGGCACCACGGCGTCCTGGGAGTACGAGTCCGGCGCGCGCAAGGAGCTCATCGCCACGTTGGTTCCCAACAAGTCGGCCGAGATCTCCCGCGCCTACGTGGGCCACGCCAGGCTCAGCGAGATGGACTTCTCGCTGCAGCTGGTGCTGCGCTGGTGGAACGGGGGGTTCTACCGCTTCCGCTCCGAGTCGGAGGCCACGGGCTGGTTGGAGCTGCGCGTGGTCGGTGAGTGCCAAACCCTGCGCCGCAGCCGGGGAGCTGGAGCTGCTGCCCGGGTGCTGGCACCCTCGAGGCGGGGGTGTCAGTGCCGACGGGTGCTCCATCTGCGCAGAGCCGCTCTCCGAGCCAGAAATCCTGGGCAACTCCTTCGTGGAGGTGGGAGGCGACACCAAGCTGTACTGCAACGTGCTGGAGGGGCAGGTGGACGTGTACTGGTGGAAGAGGAACGGGAAGCTGCTGATGGAGAGCAACGGCCTCCAGTTCATCCACAACAACACGCTGGAGATCCACCGAGCCCTGATGAACGACACCGGCTACTACACGTGCATAATCAGCAACGCGGTCAGCCACAACGAAACCTCCTTCCTGCTGCGCGTCCACAGTAAGTGGGGCTTCCTTCCCCGGGCACGGGAATGGAAAGCTGGGGAATGGCCCCAAAACGGTCACTCTGCCCCGTTCCCTGAGGTCTCGTGGCTTCCCAGCACAGTCTGAGACGAGGAGTGGGAACAGAGGGCTCCACTGAGGACTTGTGTCTCTGCACCAGCCTGCCCAGTGGCAGGAGTTTTTCTTTCCCTGGGCAAAATTCTGGGAATTTTGGGTTTGTTTATTTTTTTCAGACAACGACAGGGCGTTTTTCATCCTCATCGTGGTATTCGTTAGCATCGGCTTGCTGGCAGGTGAGTGCTGGGACCAGCTTCGCAGTAGTGAAGCACCCAAAGTGGGGCCCAAGGAGTGAATATGGTGGCTGAAAATAGGAAGCTCCTTGCAGGCAGTGAAAATAGCCTCCAGGCTTGAGGCTTCTTGCCTGAGTGTTGCCACTCGTTGAGCATCTTCATCCCTGGGGTGTTTAACAGAGGTCATATTTGTCCACAGGGATCTTCAACTGGTGGAGGTTGAGGAACTCCCCGGATGATGACCTTACTTTTTGAAAATTTAGCACTGAAAAGCCAGAAGTTTCATTGTCCTCAGCATTAACCCTATGGAGATACATCTTTGGAGTGCAAGTGCATCCAGGAGAAGGTCAAATCACATCCTATGGTGGGAGTGATTGCTACGCCATCCTACACCATTTTCATGGTGAAAATCCTAGCAGAGTTCTCTAGGGGGAGTCAAAGCTGACGTGCAGAAGAACAAAATTTCAGTGAAGCTGTTTTCTTAAAAAAAAAAAAAAAAAAGTTGGACATAGTTTGGTGCTTGTTTGCGTTGCTGAATGGTTCTGGCTGTGTTTGTGCTTGTGCATTGTGGCAGGATGAGCTGGAAGGTGCAGCTGGGCTCTGCATGGCACAAGTCCTGAAACATCCAGTGTAAAATAGGTTGGCAGCAAAATGTCATCTCTCAACCACGTCACAAATGAAAAATTAAAGGAAGTGAAGCAAACTGGATGTATTAGAGTAGTTTTCAGGCTAATTTTTAAGCTGTGTTAAAAGTTGTTCAGTTCCCTGCAGTGCTTGTGGTGTTCAGGGGAGCCAAATGTTACAGAAAAAATATATTTTCAAACTGTTTTGAGTGTTGTCTATAAATCATTTGGGAAAAGTGCAGTTTTTCATGTCTCTTGCTACAAATAAAAGCGCACACGTTCTCCCTGTTATATTGCTGTTGTCTGTGGCTATGGGAAATAAGCCCTGTGCGGCACCCAAAACCCACAGCAGGGTAGGGATGTGCAGGCAGGAGGGGCAGCCAGAGCATCAGGTGGGGAACGGGGGATGATGATGACAAAAATGTCGTGTCTGTCTGGCTTTACCAGCAGCTGGGCTGGCCAGGGCCTCACCACACACAGATCAAAGAATTTCTTCCTTGTATCTCATCTAACCCTAACCTCTTTTAGTTTAGGGGCATTCCCCCTTGTTCTGCAACTTATTTGGCTTCCAGCAGAGCTTCTGAGGATCAGCTGGTGTCCCGTCACAAGTGTTGTCTGCCAGGGGTCAGTACTGGGGCCTATCTTGTTTAATACCTTTACTGTTGACCTAGACGAGGGCATTGAGTGTACCCTCAGAAGGTTTGCAGATGGCACCAAGGTGGGAGGTAGCGTCCACCTGTCTGAGGGTAGGGTGGCCCTTCAGAGGGGTCGGATAGGCTGGACTCCTGGGCTGAGGCAAATGGGAAGAAGTTCAACGAGGCCAAGTGCCGGGTCCTGCACTTTGGCCAAACCCCATTCAGAGCTACAGGCAGAGTGGCTAGAGGACTGTGAAGAGGGAAAGCACCTGGGGGTGTTGGTCGATGCTTGCCTGAACGTGAGCCAGCAGTGCGCCCAGGTGGCCAAGAAGGCCAACAGCATCCTGGCTTGTATCAGCAACAGTGCGGCCAGCAGGACCAGGGAGGTGATCGCCCCCCTGTACTCTGCTCTGGCGAGGCTGCACCTTGAGTGCTGTGCTCAGCTTTGGGCCCCTCACTACAAGAAGGACATTGAGGCCCCGGAGTCCGCTACAAAGCTGGTGAAGGGCCTGGAGCACAAGTCCTGTGAGGAGCGGCTGAGGGAACTGGGGTTGTTTGGTCTGGGGAAGAGGTGGCTCAGAGGAGACCTCATTGCTCTCTACAACTGCCTGAAGGGAGGTTGTGATGAGGAGGGAGTCGGCCTCTTCTCTCAGATAACTAATGATAGGACTTGAAGAAATGGCCACAAGTTGCTCCTGGGGAGATTTAGATATCAGGAAAAGCTTTTTCTCTCAAAGAGTGGTCACGCACTGGAATGGCCTGCCCAGGGAGGTGGTGGAATCAGCGTCCCTGGCAGTGTTCAACAAGTGCCTGGAGGAGGTGCTACGAGATAAGATTTAGAAACTTAGGTGGTAGTATTGGTGACAGCAGGACGGTTGGGCTAGATGACCTTGTAGGTCCTTTCCAACCTTGTGTTTCTATGACCATCTAATTCCAGCCCCTGCCATGGGCAGGGACCCCTCCCAGCAGCCCAGGCTGCCCCCAGCCCCATCCAGCCTGGCCTTGGGCACTGCCAGGGGGCTCCCTGGGGCTCTCCCCGCTTGTCATTGCCAGTGGGCATCTTCCTGCACGGAGAAAGAAAGAGAAGGACGAGTCTGAGCCACCGTGTGGGACTCTGTCACCTGGTCACCCACTGCCAGGTATCCAGAAAGCCAGAACGATCTTGGTTCCTTACCTGGTTTAGTTCTGCCGCCTCTGACGTGCTTTTCCCACCGCCGGTGCCCTTGTTGGCCTGCAGAGCCCCCCCGGCCCCCCTGGAAGGGGACGCGTGCTGCCCCTGTCCTCTCTCGGACCACGTAACCTCACCGGGAGGGTGCTGCGGGCACCTCCGAGCACCACGGCTTGGTGCGTCCCAGGCGGGGGCTAAGCGAGCTCTGCAAGCAGAAAAGCTTTTCTGCTCTTCTCTCAAGTGCCACGAGGCTGAGCCCTTGTCAGCGCCTGGGTCCTGGCCCCACGAGCTCCTGCCCTGGCCTGGAGGAGGCATCTTGGCAAGCTGTGCTCCGGCCTGGCTGGGACAGGGGCTTTCCTTGCCCCGGGGATGCGCTTTCCCTTGGGACGGGATTTGTTGCAACCCAGGGCACTGCTCAGCTTTAGTTTGCTCTGTAAAGCAGTCTGCCCTGGCCCGCACCCCCTCGAGAAACCTGGTCCAGAGCTGGCCAAGGCAGGATCTGGCCCCAGAGCTGGGGCCCAGATAGCACTGAGCTATCCTGTGCTTGAGGAGACCCAGCGGGGACACCAGCAGAGGATCCAAATGGAATCCTTCTATTGCAGCGGCTCTAGCAAAGCAAAGAAAAAGGTGAGTGTAGGATTTATTTTTTTATTATTATTTAATTTTTTCATGTTTGAATATTTCTCATCTGATACCAGGGGGGACAGCAAAGGACCTTCAGCTGAACCCAAAAGTCTACAGCCCACAAAGGATGGAAACCACTGACAGCTGTGGTGTGACCACAAGGTCAGTTAAGAGCCTGTGCAAGGGAAATCAGCACAGGCTAGGTCACTGGTTCTTTTAAATATATATAAAAAATCAGAAAATAATATATATATATATATATATATATGTTGCAGGAAGAAGGCCGAAAAATGACAGACACCAGTATGGTCAGATCATGCTCTCTCTTTATTACCAAAATAGCCTGATTCTCATAGCAAACTTAACATGGAATAGGTCTCACACAGATTATCAGTCAAAAGCACTCAGAGAAACAACTGCAAGAAAACAACCCCCTTGTGATTACCAGTCACGCAGATCTTGTCCTTGAAGCCAGCTGCTGGCAACAATATTTTTAATTCCTCAGTCGGGCGGTATGGGAACACCGTCATGGGAACTCCTCGTAGTCACCCTCGTACCTTGGTTTGATCAGCTGAAACAAGTCATGGCCTCCTTGCTGTTCCAAAAATCACTCAACATTTATATAAATATATATATGAAAATATATATATAAAAATATATAAAAATAGAAAAGGAGAATTTACAAACCACAATAATGGTCAGTACCCAGGAAAGGGCACCTGCAAAAGGTAGACCAGTGTGGGATCTGTAATCACATATTGCCAGCCGTACCCTGGGGTGCACCAAGCACGGCATCGCTAGTCGGTCGAGGGAAGGAACTGTCCTGCCTGCCTGCCCTGCGCTGTGCGGCCTCACCTCCAGTGCTGTGAGCAGTTCTGGGCACCACAGCACAAGGACACGAAACTGTTGGAGGGTGTCCAGAGGAGGGCGATGAAGATGGTGAAGGGCCTAGAGGGAAGACGGCTGAGGGCACTGGGCCTGGTCAGCCTGGAGAAGAGGAGGCTGAGGGGGGACCTCATCGCGGTCTGCAGCTTCCTCGTGAGGGGGAGTGGGAGGCAGGTGACCTGTTCTGTGTAAACACCAGTGCAGGGGGAACAGGTTAAGCTGAGGTAAGGAGGTTTAGGCTGGACATCAGGTGAGGTTCTGCAAGTTCCCCAGGGAACAGTCACTGCACCAAGCCTGTCTGAATTTAAGAAGAGATGGACTTAGGCACATGGTCTAAACTTTTGGGTAGACCTGTGCGGTGCCAGGAGTTGGACTTGATGATCCTCATGGGTCCCTTCCAACTCGGGATATTCTATGGTTCTAGGATTCTATGCAGAAAATGTAGGTTTAATTAGCACTGTATACGGATAAATTGTGGGAAATGTAGAAAAAGTAGGTTTAGTTAGAAATGTGGATAAGACTCGTGAAAAATCAGGAAAGGAGTGCTGAAGACAAGAGAAATGTGGGGGATGCGAGTCACCACAGAGTCTGAGGCATACGGGAATAACAAGAGGAGGTGAGAGCAAGGACTGCCACGAGGCCCAGGAAAGAGGAAAGTAACAAAGTGTGACCAAAACCCAGCATGGGAACAGGAGGTTGCAGTAAGGTACCTACCAGCCTGAGAAATACAAGGATCAAAGGACTGTAAACGGGGCTGGAGGATTTGTGGAAGGAAAACCTCTGGAAGGGAAGTGTGTAAAAGGAGCATAGCCGGGTTGCAATAGAGACTTGATCACACGAAGAGTCCGTGCACTCGGTCACCACAAATGGCACCCAATGTGGGGCTGTGGTGGTTTTACCGTGCTGGGCAGCTAAACCCCACAACAGCTCTCTCACTCCCCTCCTTTACATGAGGAGGGGGAGAAGTAAAGCAAAGAACAACTCACGGGTTGAGATAAGGATAATTTAATTAAAGGGAAATCATAATAACAATTGAATAAGGACTACCATGAATTAAACAATTTAACTAAGGGGAAATAAATAGAGAAAGGGGAAAAGGGAGGGGAAAAGGGAAAAATAAAAAGAAGGGAGGAAAACAAACAAAATAAATTAAGGCTATATGGAAGCGCAGAGGAAAGAAATTACTCTCTATTTCACACAAATGAGCGATGATTGACCACGTCCTTGAAGCAAGGCCTCAACGCACGCAGCCGGTGTTCGAGAGGAGGACCGACGTTTTACCAACGAGAGCCCACCCCTCCCCTCTTCTTCCTGTTTCCACCTTTTATTGCTGAGTGTGACATCACATGGTGTGGAATATCCCTTTGGTTGGTTTAGGTCAGCTGCCCTAGTGATGTTTCTCTCCTCACTTTTTGCCCACCCCCTAGGAGGGTTAGAGAAAAGCCCAATGCTGTGCCACTGCTGCTCAGCAGTAGACACAACACTGGTGTGATAACACTGCTGTTCCAGCTACAAGTACAGAGTACGGCACTGTATGGGCTGCTGCCGGGAAAGTTAACATTCCAGCCAGACCAGTACAGAGGCACAACAAGTGAGGCTGTACCAGCCCATTCCAGTGGCAATGCCCAACCCAACCATAGCTGGAGGAAAAGGAAAGGCTCTCGAGCACATCACCGACCTGCAGGACAGGAGGTGAGCTACGGGAAGCTCCCTTACAAAAAAGCTGCAATCTAACCTAGATGTATTACAAAGAATCCTTAAGACTCAAAATCATCCAGTATCCACTTTGGCACTAGTTCAGTGTCTGGACTGGCTAGGAGGAATGTACCAGCTTTTCCAATGACTGGTTCTTCTGATGTCACCCCCCCGTGTGGTGACAAATCCACCCGTGCCGTTCTGCAGGAAGGCAGATGGATGCTTCCCGGTGAGTATTAAATATTCATTGTTACATGACGAGTATCTGCAGCAACCAGAGAAGGAGACAGCTGATGTGTGCTGGAAGTCACCAAGGTGGACGTGGTCTGTAAGCTGTGGGTGACCTCCTGGGGGTCCGGCTGCTGCTGCCTCTCCTGGTTTTCCTTGTAAGCTGAAAACGAAGGAGAGGGCATCAGCTCCTGGGTTTCCAACACCACCCTGAGCTTCATGGGGACATGTGAAAATGCGACTGCAGGGAAGAATGGGTTTTGGAGGCTTTCCCGTGGCCAAACCCTCTGTGTCCAAAACCAGATCTCTGTTTTGGATGGAGAGCCAGAAGGCAGCACAGAGATGGACACCCACCTTGCCTGCAAGCCCCTGCACCTCTAACCTACGAGCCCTTGGTAGGTTAGTGCAATATTTCTTGTGTTTCAGATTCCAAATTCTTCTGCACACCCTGGCAAAGCAGGGGTCCCCTTCCCACCCTCTCCTCAACACATCATGGAGCCGGTGAGCCACACCATGGGTTCACTACTGCTCAGGTCAGTGGCCAGCTGGGCACCAGCCCACTCTCCTGGGTCAGGAGGAGAGCAGAAGAGCATCCTCCACATTTGGGAGGAGAAACTCGCCTTCCATGAACACCTCCTTGAGCATCCTGGGTGAAGTGGAGGCAATTTGCCTCTTGTCTAAAGACCTGCTGCGAGGGGGTGGAGATGAGAGCAGGGTCTCAGTGATGGAGCAGATACTTGGTGTGGCTGGAAGGAAACCTGGGCTACTTACAGCACAGGAAGAGGAGCAGCAGCATGGGGAGGACTGCTACAGCAGGAATGACGAAGCCAATGGTCAGATTGACAGCCTCTGAGCAGCCCCGCTCTGCCAAGAAGACAGTGAGAACTTGTCAGTGGTTGCTCTCCTGCCCCCCTTGAACATCTACAGAACATGAAGGTCATTCAGAGCATCCTGGTGCTTCACGCTCTGGAGCTCCAGGGGCAAATCTTCCTCTGCTGTGACCTCCCGGCTAAGCACAAGGCTTGCCATGACTGCATCAACTACAGCCTACAAAGCCACCCAAGGACTTTCTCTTCCCTGGGTGAGGCCAGTCCCACCCCGAACACCCCACCTCTCCCCAGAAGGAAGGCGACCAAGGGCACACGCGGTGCCAACCCGGCCGCCCATTACGTGGAGCTGATGGAAGTTGTGGAGCAGGAGGATGTGAACAGCAGGTTGACTACCAGCGTCGTGGCTGTAATGCACAGGATGACACGGTGCCCTGGGAGAGGGGAGAAGTTCTGGTGGATGGGAGAGAAATGGGAGAAGAGGGCAGGCCAGCACGGGGAGTTTGTTCCCAGGCTCTCAGGCCTTTTGCACCGGAGGTTTAGGCCACCGACAGCAACTCACAGCCTTTGGACCCGAAGAGTGTGAGCACTGCTGGTCTGCACGGCGACATCGCCACCGCCGTCAGTGCCATGGCCACGATCCCAGCTGAGAGGATAAGCCCGAGCAGGATGAAGGCAGCAGAATGACCTGTGGGGAGCAGAATTAAACAAGGAGGTGAGATGGGAAAGCTTCTCCTGGCCAAGGCAGATGCTACAGAGCAGGGAACCCTGACATTGATTCTCCAAACCCAACAGCACTGCATCAGACAAGGATGCTGCTGGAGAGACCTGGAGGTCTTTGGTGTCGTCAAAGATAAGACACGGGAGAAATGAAGAACAACTCAGTTTAAATGAATCCTACCATCTTCCTGCATCCAGATGACAGAGGCAGCCAACAGGAGGAGAGAAGAGGTGCACAGCAGCCCCAGTAAGGACATCATTAACCATTCCCATGATTCCTTTCCTGGGAAAAAGGCAAATACATTTGAGTTAGGGCTCGGAACCTCACCAAGGGATCCAGGGTGCAGCCTGGGAAGGGAAGGTGAACACCAAGCACACGCTTCCCTTGTAAAGAATCAAATTCCCGAGATTTGGAAACCTCAAAGACAAACCCTGGTGGACTTCAAAGGCTTTTGGTAGGCTTCCAAAGGGCTTTGTTTGACTTGAGGAGGAACCATGAGATGCGAGCCAGATGGGAGGACTTGCTGTTGGCTAGGTCTTATGGTCTCTTTTCTGCTAACCATCATGTTGCTACAGAAGCACCCACATAACCCGTAGCTTGGGTATGGGTGCACAGCAGTTTGCACCATCCTGACCCAAACACCAGTGTGCTTGGTCACCAAACCCAATGCCATGTGGCCCTTGGTCAGCTCTCAGCACCTCCACGCAGGAAGCTCTTTGTGTCCTGCCCTTTCTATTTCTCCCCAGGGACTCCTGAGGACAGAGAGGAACAACTCCTATGCCTCATACCATGATACCTGCGGGTGGCCCAATTTCTCCCAAAGCCATTTGGGATTACTGCTGCTAGGAAATTTTGTTTTCTGTTCAAGCCGCAGAAGCATAAGAAGAAGTGCATGAACTCCACGACCATCGAGCAAGCTTCCTCCAACTACCCGGTGAGTTAGGAGAGAAGGGGCTTGCCTCGCCCTCTGCCCTCTCCACGGCATGGAGAGAGGAGCTCAGGCGTGGACACTCACCGAGTCTGAGCTTCCCCAGCTGATAGAGCCGGATAACGAAGAGGACGGCAGAGATGGCAGTGAGCACCAGCGCAGCAGCGGTCATCATCTGTGCAGACGGGCAGGAGGTGTAAGACCTGCATGGAGGACAACCCCACAACATGGAGCAGCTATCCAGGAGTCTGCAACAAGCTCGAAACCCTACAGGATTACTGGGTTTCCTTGCGTGGCAGATCCCACGAGAGGCAGCTGAAACCTGCGAGGGTCTCAGAGACAAAGTGCTGGTGCCCAGACCTGCTAGAGATGAGAAGACAGAGCGGGCTTGAGCTGGCACCTAAATGCACAAAGGCTGCAGGTCCAAGTGAGACAACAGCCAACGAACAATCCATCTGCCAGCCCCAGGACCACAGCAGAGCTGCTGGGGGTCTCGTCCAGGTACCTGTGGGCTCAGGGCTGCTGTGACAAGGTGGCAAACCACCGGACCCACCCCGGCAGGGCAATGCTAACCTGTCACGGTCAGGTTGAGGGCTGCCTCCCTCCAGCTTATGGAGTTGTTGATTATGCAGGAGTAGGAGCCGCAATCCGACTTCTCTGCCTTCTTATCTGCTGCCCTTAAGCCACGGCACCTCCCCTGGGGTGGGCAGCACCAGCCCCTGGAGCTCAGGCATGGCACCCTGGGGCCACGGACACCGACCCGACAGAGCTGCACTTGGGATTATGCTGGGAAGTGATGACGGGGACTTTATGGACACTTCCAAGAGGAGAAAGCTGCCCCGCACAGCAGTGGGGTGGAGGGGTGCTCTGGCACAAGGACATGGACGTATCAGAAGAGTCCAGAGGA